TTTATAAAAAAATGATATACTGAATTGTAAGGGTTACTAGTATGGCGCACATGACCGAATTTCTGGAAAAGACACGTGACCACAAATTGGTGATTTCGATCTAGTTCTATATATATAGTCGACTTTCTTTACTCAGTCGCTTTAGAGGTAGCCTATATTACATAGTCAAAAGAAATATTTGCAGTATAAACTTTCACTTTCCAATACTAAAGAAATTAGTGACAAATTGGCTGCCGCTTGTGGACTAATTTGCATTTCATCTATACATAATGGCCTTTGAGTTTTACTATAAAAAACATTGAGTACAAATATGCCGTGATATCGTCAAAGCTACAGACTTGGAGCACTGTTTGCCGACCTCTAGATGGATATAGTTTTAATGATGATATACCTATATAAAATTCAACTGAGTTCTGTATGTGGTAAGCGAGCACATGTGACCCGATAGCCTGTAAACAGAATTTACAGTTCCGTTTTTTTTATCTACAATCACTAAATCCTCCGGAATCAAACAAAATGACAGTTCAGGAACTACAGGACTACAACGACATTTGCTTGATCAAATAATCTAATAGCTTATTACTATTAGTCTTAGTTTTCGTATAAATTACTAAATTTGTAGTACTCCTCCAGACTGGTACTCACTGCGGTTTTGGTTACTCTTCGACGACTCACTTCAGTTGGTGTACAAATTACAAAAGCAATAAATCATCGATAAAAATATTCTACGAAAATACGTCAAAAAACGTCATAAAAATGTTAACGTCATCCGACAAAATTCAAGTTTCCTTTTGCTAATCCACATACGTCCGAAAAGAGGTCTGGAGAAGAGTCTCCGCAAGAATAGGAAAGCTGCCTGAGGGCAGCAATAATTTCTTTACACAAAACCTTTACTTATTTTCAAAGCATTTTCGAAAGTTTAATTAAAAGCCACAGAGGAACTATAAACTCTTTTTAACTTTGCGCACAAAGTGGAGTACCTGGAAAATATATTATACATCCTGTATTTTAAAAGACCTGGGTTTTAAAAGAGTGGTCGTGAATAACTACATACATTAACTTAGAAATATTGATATTCGTAAATTTGACTACCGCACGGGCATTTTTTTTTTACTAGAGAGTTTATAAGCTTTACGTTACTGAATGTGAAACGGCAAACGCCGAGCGCAATCAATGTTTTTACATAAGAAAGAAAATATGAAACATGGACATGTTAAATGGTAATAAGTGAACTTACCTGCCTAATATATCGAGAAATGCAATAGAGGTAGTATACAGAAGACAAAGTAAACCGGCGGTTGTCAGTTGTGATTGAACACTATATGTAATGTTGGTTCTGCCATATCTATACACTTTAAAGCCTCTTACAGACGAGAGAGTTCTCTATTACCAGTTTTAATTGTTCGCCTGTAAGCCCAACTTTCACAATTTTTTCTATGACCAGTACACTTGTTCAAAATCAAGTATACTTGTCAAAAAATTGTGGAAGTATAAATTTTGCTCATCTGTATAAATCAACAAAGAAAACTTGTCACATAATGTGAGCACTTGTATGCGGTTGGTCAGCGGACTATAGTATTTTTTCTTAGCAAGTGCATTCGTGACCCGTTCACGGAATTCAATAGTTGACTTACTTAAGGTCTGTTCACACCATCCAATTTTGTTGGATCCAATTCACTTCAGACGTATGAAATATAGTCGCTTATTGATGAAGCCGTAGTGCATTAGCTTCAGTGATTTTGCTGCTCATAAACATTACAAGACAGCAGGCTATAAAACATCCATCAGAAGTGAATTGGATCCAACAAAATTGGTTCGTGTGAACAGACCTTTAAAAATATCATTTCACGTCGGTTGCAAATAAAAGCGGAGCTTTTCCGACAGTCTATACCAAAATTAGTAAAAATGCAAAGTTTGGTTGCGAAATGTCATAAAATGCGGAAAATATACCCTTGCAAAGTTTGCAAATTTGTAACTCAGGTATATTTACTACATTCGAATTTATTCATTCATTCGTTCATTTGAGCCAAGCTCAAACTCTTGGCTGAGTTAACAACCTGAAGAGACAGTCGGGACTCTTCAGGTTGAACAAAGAAATTTCAGAGAGAAAAAACGCGTACTGGCGAGAGAAGCGATTTCGGTTTGTTAGTCCGATTTTCTTGCAAGTTTTTTTCACATATACTGTTGTTGGTGTCATGACTAATTTATGAATTCGGTAATGTAAGGCGAAGTATCTATATATTGTTTACTTTTATATGCCTAATTTATGTACTTTTGTAAATACCTATAGCCCTAACTTAGTTCTGTTGAAACTGTGTTTTGTTCAACTACGAACACGCAATGATTTCATCTCGCTCGTGTCTATAACTTTTCCTAAAAAACTTGGCTCATGCAGTGACATAAGACTAAAGTGAAATACAGCTGGGATATTTATATACGAGATCGCTCCTAGATATATTGTAGAGGATGTAAAGTGTAAACAAGGTAATTCTATACTGTAAACTTGAACAACCTTAAAATCTCGCCTGTTTCTCATGTTATGAAGTTCCCGGAACGACGTAGATAAAAACATCGTTATAGGAATCATTTGGTTGAATGTGTTTGAGCATATTCACCAGTGTTTAGTCAAAATTTAACCTTAATTTTTGGCTTCAGTACACAAACTCGGTATGTCTTCAATTGTGACAAGTATTCTCAGTTCAACACTTGGTTTATTATGGAATAAGGTCCGAGACTCAACGGCAGACAAATTCAAAGACGGCGATGTAACCGATGCAGAAATTCGTAAGATTGTCGTACGAGAGTTAAATGATATGAAGTCTAAGATCGATGGCCTTTCCCGATCAACTTTACTCGCCAGTTATAATTTCCTAGAAGAAGGAGTTGAGTTACTCAGTGTTTCTCTTGATAAATCAAATCACGAGCGGAAAGAGAGCGAAACTCAGGACGAACCAGGTGAACCTTCGAGCGTTATTCAGTCTGGTATCTTAAACCAAGCAATAGAGCTTCCTCGTGCCATGGAAAAGCTTAAAATCAACTCGGACAGAGAGTTTGAAGCTGCGAGGGAAAGATTCAAAGATGCGCGCAAGACAGCAACCACTGCTTTCTGGAATGAGGCATTTAGTATTGAAGATCGAATTTTTGCCGCGAAGCTACGAATAGTTTCAGAAATACTGGAACATGTCGATAGTCCTGAGACCGCAATCACAGGGTGTTTGTCGTTTTTAAAGAAGCTGCATAGCTTACCAGCTATTCACGAGATATTCTCGGTGTATTTGAACGGTGGAGTCAAATCGTTGTTGAATAAAACTCACCGAGTGGAGAACGTCAAGTCGGTTATGTTAATCAACTATCTGTTGTTTCAATATGTTTGGAAATTCAGCAGCAAGTATTCGTTTGAAGTGTCCGCCTTCCCCGGCTGCATCCCAACGATTGAACTTCCTGATCGTAGTTTTCACCCAATAAGAAATTGGAAGGAAATTTCAAAAAGAAAGTCTATGGGAGAGGAATTGCCTCATCCTCCAAACGAACAGTTCCTTGATGAAAAAATAATACCCTACATATCTGCTGTGAACAGTCAGAGGGACGTTCTTACTGTCTCTGGTACTGGGTCTCGTGACAACATCATGATTATCCATGATGCAGGAAAAATCAAACGGGTTGAAATAACTGAATTTGCAGGTAATATTTTAGTGGCGCTTGCTGTTGATATGAATAACAGTGTTTACGTGGTGAGAAGACGTTTGAATGTAGGATTCATGTTGACGATATTGGACGAGAATTACAATGTAAAAGCAAATCATACATTGGATTTTCTCAAGGACAAAAATTTTACTCTAGTTAGCATCGCGATATGCAAAGACGATGATATTACCATCATCAATGAGGAAGACCCTCATGTGTATGTTTGTGACAAGACGTGTCAATTGAAACACAAGTTTAAACGTGACTCGAGGTGGGCATTTTCATTGAGTACTTCCCAGCAGAATGAAATCATGATACCAACAGACGATGGTACGGCGGTTCAAATATACACCAAGGAAGGAAATCTGAAGACAACAATAAAAGTCCCAGAAGATCATAAGGTATGGAGCGTCGCATTTCACTACGAAGTTTGTAAAATATTGGTTTTAACCAGAGTTAGGAAAAAAGATTCCTGTTTCATTCTGTGCTACCCTGAAGCAGGCGGCGAGCTGGAGACTCTTACCTTCTTTTGTAAAGATGACAATCAGTTTCGTCCGTATCTGGTATCCCATCCCAGGGGTCCTCTTGTTGTTGTAAGAGACAGAAGCATCACTTACCTTTAAGGAATCATGTTTCATAGGTCAGATAAGACCCTAAAATCCAGATGTGAAAAAATCAAGATCAAAGATTAAGATCCATCGATCCTTTCTATGACATGCATGATTTCCACGTGCAGGGCCCGGTTGTATCAAGTCCGTTTAGCTTAAACGATGGATAAGTTCAAAATAGAAAGCAAGTCTATAGATCGTTTTATTCAACAAGCGAAGTAAATGTTTTTAACCTTAATACAACGATACCGTTTACAACTAGATATATTCAGTGCATAATATTCAAGTTGACTCATTCTAGAGAGATGTAAGAGTGTTTGTTATTTAATTTTGACTTATCCACCGTTTAAGCTAAACGGGCTTGATACAACCGGGCCCAGACAAACATTATCCAGTCTATAATTGAGCAAAACTATATCCTATATCATACAGGCATCCTCGAAACCGCCAGAAAACTGAATTTATTTCATCTCTTTTGCACTTAACAACTGCATGACAACTGTTTACATGCAGAGAGATTACAAGAGATTACTCTACAAAAGGATGCTTATTGATTTATAAGTTATAGTAAATATATGCAGAAGATGTGTTTGCTTTGAACAAGGGTTTTTTAATGCTAAAGTATATAACAGACGATCAAGGATTGATATGCGATATATTTTCTTCAATTGGAAGGTCGACCGTAGTCAACCAAACAGTTTATTTTCATTCAAAACGAGAAGAAACAACTGAAACATGTGTTTTAAAAACTACAGTAATATGGAATACGTTAATTCTAATGACAAGAACATTTCAAGATGAGAGGGAAAAAGGAGTTACTTATATTGATCACGGGTTTTTCGTTATTCATATTCGATTTGGGTTCCGATATATTCGTAGCCGTCAAATATTGGAAAAATGGAAACGTTGCGTGGTTCGCTGCGACGGTATCAATTATATGTGCCAGTTTATTCGTCGTTACAATCGTCGCGCGTGACAAAACGATAGAAGCAAAGAAAATTAGCAGGCTCGAAACTTGCGTGAGACTGTTTTCATCGATATTTTTGTGTTATATCCATCAGTTTAGGCAGTGGAAACGTAGGTATTGGGATACTGCCGGTCCATGCGAGGATAAGTGCGGGCGGGAGTCCTGTGTATTGTGTGAATCGTATCGTAATGAAGACAATAATTGGGTTAAATCTGTGTATATATTCTCTAAGATGCATTATACTGAGGCGATGGTGGAGTCCGCCCCACAATGGTGTCTGCAAATTTACATTATGTTACGACAGTGGCAATTTCCATGGTACACGGTGCTTTCAGCAGTATTTTCTCTACTCTCTTTAGCTTGGAATGTAACCACACTTGAAAGGGGCAGAACAGAAAGGGACACTAAATACAAACGAGGTCAAAAATGGAGCATAGTGTTTTCGTTATGGCAACTTTCCTGTTTCGTATCGCGATTCGCTGCAAAAATGATCTTCGCACATGTGTTTCATCAGCATATTTTTACTCTGCTTTGTATTCATCTAGTCATTGTAAACGTCGGACTGACTATTGACAAAACTTGCAGGAAAAAAGAAAACTTTCGTGATTGTTTAGTGTTTCTGTTAAAGAAGCCTTTGTTCATTTTCCCTCTCGTGTTTCATCCTTCAGAAGCGACGCTTTACTGGTGTGGATACCGTAAACAAACAGGAATGTACTACCGATTGTGTGTTATTTACGTTGTGTTATCTCTGGAGAATATCGCAATGGTTACTTTGTCTCTTGTTATATCGAGGCCTGACGTGCCACATGTTAACAATCTGCGAACATTAACAATAATGTTTCTTGTGATGGGGCTGATCATTGGAACAATCTCCCTTGTGGTGCAAAGAAACTTAAAACTAGCAAGAGTTTGGCCCTTAAGTGTAGTAATAAATACAATGGCAGGAAAAAAATTCAAAGGTACTATTGAATTTCACGTCGGAGGCCGTGATTGCAATTCTCTAGAGGAACCGGAGAGTTTACACGAAACCCAGTCGTCTGCTTATCAGTGTATAGAAACAAAAATTGATAATTTCTTAGAATGAAATAATATTTACGAGAAAGTGCAACAGCATGTTTTTAATAATAATAATTTAATAATCAAAAGCGGCTCGTGTTTTTTATCCTTTCCGAAAGTGTCGCAACATCCCTCGTGCATGGATCACGCAATCCTGCACGGAAAACCATTTGGTAATCTTTTATTCTGGCATCAAGCGTTATTTTTGTAAATTGATGTTGCTCTGACCTGTGCTAGACACTTTCGCTGGTTTTAAAAATAATCTGAGGGTACCTAAATATTGAGGCAGGATTCAAGTCAGGACTCAAGTCAGGACTCGAGCCAGGACTCGAGTCAGGACTCGAGCCAAGGACTCGAGCCGACAAGCTCCGATTTAATGACTCATCTACGTCTTGCTGATCATGATGGAAACTTCTATTGCCGTCTTTCCCGCGTGCCTGTTGGCGTAAGCGGGTTCTTCCCAGTTTAATGGTTCTTCCAGTGTGCGGACAAATTTTAAGCGCTTTTGTTCATTCGTTCCAGAATAAAGTGCCACGAATGAACAAAAGCGCTTAAAATTTGTCCGCACAAGAGAAAAATTTGCTTACGCCAACAGCCACGAGTGATTATTAACTCGGCTAGTTGCTCTCGTGTGCGGCAGGTTTTAAGTAGACTAGAATTTTTCCGAATTCGTTAAATGTGATTATTTATGATACCATTTTTTGAGTCCACAATTTTTAAATCGCTAAATGAATTCAAAAACAGAACTTTGCAAAACTTCTAGTTAGTCAGCAACATTGTATTGGTCGCATATAGCGTTAGAAAGGCTAATTCTTTTACCATTACGGTGCATGCACCATTAAATCGTAAAGATTTGAAAGTTAAAACAATGGATAATAGAAACACAATGTGTTTTTATTCTCCATGCCATGGTCAGAAATGAAAATTAACGATTTGCATCCGATATTTTGGACAGCAATTACCTGTTGGTTACGAGTTATGTTACCCCCAATTTTTATTTCATAAAATGATTTATTATAAAATCAACTATATGTCATCCAAATATGGCGGATTGGTCGCATTGCGTGAGAAAGGTTAATTGACTCGAGTCCTTGACTCGAGTCGACTCGAGTCCTGGCTCGAGTCCTGGCTCGAATCCTGACTCAAGCAATAGTATATCTCCATGACTATATAAAGAAATTCATGACTATATAAAGAAATTCATGTACAAGTTATTTGCCTACTCATCATAATATATAGCTTCGACCTAATTACAATTTATTACGCCTGGCATATGACAGAGATATATGGCAAAGACTTCTCAAAATTTACTTCCGTTAAAACCGCAATCAAATAAATCTTTATTTCATAATTGCTTTTCTTTACACCGGTTATCGCAACGTTTTAATAATGTGGTCATGCAATTATTAATAGATGTACGTATCCCGTCGTAAAAAATTAAATGAATGTTCATTGAAGTCTAATGACGGTGTGCATGCACGGAGTTAAAAATATTTTAAAAGAAGAAATATGCATGAAATAGAAGTGGCTCTTCAATTACATACAGGAAATAACGTAGAATCCCTCCAAATCTACCTCGATAAATATAAAGATTACTTTTAATTAAATTGCATGTGACAGCTATTCAAATCGATTGTTTCACTAGTAATATATATTATTCTAAGAATTGAAAACTCTATCTGACTGCCGTTAAAAGGCTCAGACATTTTTTTGCTTCATTAAGTCTACTCTAACAGTTTTTTATTTTAGCTACAGCGCTTTTAATAATTTTTTTTCAGCGCGTGCTCTAATTATATTTTGACAATGATATATGACTGTTATCAAATAATGCCGCGAGCAAAATAATGTTATGTTTCAAATTGCGTATTTAAAATAGGTTTCAACATCTTATCAGCTTCCCACAGACAGCATTGGGCCATTAAGCCGTCCTGACTTTTGGAAATCATTTTGTACTTCATGTGTATACATGCAGATTACACTATCTATCACCTTACCGTTTAATTACACGTCAGCATTTTTTGCGCAAACAGTAGTTTCCAAAACAATCACATCATCCCTGTCTGTTGGGCAACCTCCACAATTTATTACTTTCATTTAACACATGTCATCTTGTTTACTACAGATATAAATATTTTATTTCACGGGCCAGTGTGTTTTGCTGAGTAAGAAAACCACCGTGATTGTGCTAGAGTAAGAAAAAACTTTTCAACAATCCGTGCTTCAGTGTTTTTAGTAAAATAGGACGAGCTGATAAGATATTGGACCATTTCACGGGTATGTATACGAGTACGACCGTACGAGTACGAAATAATTGTATGTTTTGCCGTTTCGAGTTTAATTAAATTGGAATTATCTAGTATTATTATATATTATGAAGAATAATCAATAAAATGAGTATTAATATACTCCTAGCTGTCCTGCTCTCTCTATATATATAGCTACATGTTTCAAACATGCATGCAGCTATATATGCGAGTACAGAGAGAGAGCGCGCAAAACAGCTGATGTTTCGCTTACATGCATGATTACTTTTAAACATAATTATATCGCTGCTCTATTTGGTTGACTATATATATGAAAATCTGTTTGGTAAGTAGAAATAAAATACATGCATGTCATGGTAATACTATATACTACCTAACACGTTAGCGTTATATGGGTTAAATACATTACACTCGCGTGCTTATAGACGTCAATATGAACTAAAATACTAAAAGTCTACTATACGTATTGCACGCCTGCCGGCACACGTCGTTGACAATTTGTGTGAATATAGAAGCGCAATAGAGCTAGCTAATCTTGGCTATTGGCGTACGCTGTTTCTTCTAGCGTGCGCCGGACTTTAGTTGAAACTTTGTCGTCGCGAAATGTTGCAAACATGCGACATGAAGCAATCCAGGTGATTTTTTTCTGTTGCGGTGTATTAATGCATGCATTTCAACGTTTTGTAGGGGAGAGTTGAGAATTATCCGTGAGAAAACTGTTTGCACAAAAGCTATACATTGTATAAAAGAAAAAGAGTGTCTTTGCATGTGCATTACGGGCATTAGCAATATTTTTACGGTCGCCCCGTACTTGTAGGTGACGTTTTCTTCTCTTTTAGCCTCTGCATGTGTTTTCAAATATTGCGAGACAGTTGTTTTAGAGATTTTAGCTTTTTTAGCCATTTCACGATTTGAATACTTATTTTCCATACTTAAGAATCGAACCAGTGCCCGCGTTTCTTCAGAAATCTTTTGCACGAAGACCATCTTGGTAATTATAAATATACAGGATATCCGAAAAAACGGTTGATCTTACTAAGTATGCCTGGCCCGCTGTTGTATAGCATGACATATTAAACCACATACGAACGTCACATTCGACTGTTTGCGTCAAATATGCTCTGGCAGCATATATAATTAATTTTCCGTTGCTTTTTCCTAGCAAAATAATAATATAAATAATTTATTCACATTATTAGTACTAGGGAAATTTACAATAATCAATCATGCATTAAAATTAAGTATAATAGTTCTACAGACTATTTACAAAAACAACTTAACTAGACTACTCGCTAATGTTGGAGTTCCATTCCGACAACGTAATGTCGCTAGTTGATGTGATGGACGCAGTCCTCCAACTTCGACTGCCACGAACACACACCACGCGAGCTCTAAGCAAAGCAAAGGCGATCTTTCGTCGTAACCAGCTAACCACCATAGATGGAGAATGATTCTTCTTGTCAGCCAGCTTCGCACCCAGGAAGGAAAGAAAATGTTGGGTCTCTCTTCCGCATCCGCCAAAGGCGCTGAAGACGACCGGTGTGAAGGAGCCATGCTCGACCTCAACAATCCGTTGGTTGTAATGTCGCTTCTTTTCCCGTTCGTTGGCTTTAAACGAGCTGCTCAACGTCTGGCGTCGATGTGTAGAGGCGTATGGGTTAAACACCCTTACATCAAAAAATGCCTTTTCACATCTCTGCCAGAAACCTCTCGCAGCAATGTCCACTCTGGCGTCATCGGCTGAGTTAGCACTGGATGGAAGAACCTCGCCAGTCAAAGGAGCAAGAGCAGGTTCAATTGAAACATCGTAAGCAACGTCATCGATAGCAGCAGCAAGTAGATCACGGATCTCATTATGTCTTCGATGGATAAAACCTCCTTTCAGGCACGACAGGGCATGATCTACCGTGAACGATTTTCCACAAGCGCAGAAAGATGGAAGGCGTTTCAAAGGCCATCGATAACGCATGTAGATTGCATCAAAGAACTCACGCTTGGTCAAGATGTAGCCCTCTTCAGCAAGTGGCAGAGCAGTTAGCCAAGCTGAGGATCCTTTCAACTGGGCGAGGTCATTTGCTCGAATCTGCTCTTCACTCATGCTCGATCTCAAGTTCTGTAGCAGCAACGAGTTCCTAGCTTGACGTTGTTTTGCAATCTCACGGCGAAGATCGTGGATGGAATCTCCATGTTCTGCTGATGGTGTACCATTCTGGTGGATGATTCTACTTGAGAGAAGATGACAGATGGTTGTGGAGTTCAAATGTCTTCATCACAGATGTCGTTAAAGATCGGAATACCAAGACCTCCCATACGAGCTGGAAGCGAAACCAATTGTCGCTCATGGATGGACAAGCTACGGTTATCGAGGAGTGCAGGAAGGAGCTTCAGGTTGATGGTGTCGTCAACAAGCTGCATCGCGGTCTTGATACCTGGAACGGCACGAATGTGGTAAGTAAATCTGTGCCGAAAACCCGAGACAAACGCCGTGTATGCTGCTTGGGGTTGGAATTTGGCAATTTCACTCAAAACGTGAAGTTGCTGGCACCATTTACTAACTAAAGAACTAATATACTTATCTTTTCCGTCATCCGATCCAAGATATCCTCCAAGGTACTTATGCCCTTCACTTGAAATTCGTACATTAGTTCCAGCGAAGATCTCAATGGCAGTCTGCTCCAGGTGTGGCTTCACAATCAACCAGGATTTATCAGCTCGCGGGTAGTAACCAAGACTCGGACCATGCACGGCAATCTTCTCCCACCAGGCACGCAGTTGCATTAGCTTACCTGCCCCACTAAGGTCATCCGCGTACGCAACATGCCTTACATCACTAGCTTCACCAGATTTAATCATGAGCAGGAGTGGAGTAATGGCGACGGCGTATAACGGCATGGCTAACGGATCACCTTGCGTGGTACCTTCAGCTGATGCAATTTCTTTACCACCTTGCACGAACAATCTTGAAGCTGTTACATAACAATTGAACGTATAAACAGCCATTGCAGGACAAATGTACTGAATGTTATGTAACATGATCTTGCGGTTGATGGAATTGAACGCATTGGTGGCGTCTACCAGTAAGACAGCGTCTGTTTCTTCTTCTTCAAAAATCTTCGACATGGCGTGAACAGCAGCCTCGCAGCCTGATTGTTGTCCTGCACATAGCTGCAAGTCTCCTGCGCTATCCATGATTTGTGGTTTAATGGCAAAGACAATTGATTTTCCAATTATCCGTCGTAGAACCTCTCCAATCCCAATCGGTCTGACACCAGGGTTTTGTCCAGAGGTATTAAGCGACACGCTAAGAAGGTCTCTAAGCTGGTGGTCTGATCTGCTCCAATAACGACCTTCTGGGTTGCAAGTGTTCTCGCCATTAACGCTATTGCGGATCGTAGATCTTTGCCAGCATCTCCATAGTTGCGAGACACCAAAATATGCCGCCATCCAAGTGCGTCAAGACCTGAAGGACCAGCAGCACCTTGAGTCCTCAATGCTGCTTTTGCTATGGCTGCCTCGTCGATGTTGGCGAATAACGATGGATCGACATATGGAATTTCACCATCAATCATGACGGAATGATCCTCAGGTTGTGCAGGTGGATGTTTCTGCAAGAGGTCCTTGTACACAGCGTCATTAAGAGGAAGAACTCCACCACATGATTGTTCATCCAACAAACGTAGAGCTGCGTTCACTTTGCCACGAAACATGAGACTAGCGAAGGTCTTGGAAAGCTGTTCATTCGAAACCTTTCTAGTAGCCAGTAGTGTCGACTGGATGGTTCTGCATTCCCGAAGTAACCCATCAAAGTTACCTTGTTGCCACAAAGCCATGCGCCGAGACAGACAAGTCACATGGTCTTTCGATCTCGATTTGAAACTCGGTTTTTGTAAGAGAAGAGCAGGCATGATCATAGTAAGTTTTAAAGAAATATCATGCAAGATCTCCGAGTTACTGTTCCAAGCGTTAACAAGTCTCTCCAGTTCCCTGACGTATGACTTTCCAGCAGCTCCACTCGGCAACATAAACAGATTTTTGCGCCAAAAAACCACCTCTTCATAGGCTGCGTTAACAACTTGCTTTAGATCGTCTTTAGTGAGGCTGCCCCAAACACATGGTGATCCGCTATTTTGAGAACTTGAGGGAGTAACCGGATCGACAACAATAGAACCAGGCATACTTGATGTTTGTCCATCTTGTTGACTCGCTCCACCAGTTGCGTGTTTTTTCCTGCATGAATTTAAATGTAGCGACCGTCCTCGTTCCGAACCAAATTGTCTCGGGCACAAATTACATTGAAATACGCGCTCTCCGTCTTTGCTTTCTTGCGGCATAGTTTCTAATTAGCGTGCTTCGTCACCAACCAATTTACCAAATCACGTAGCACGCGGTTAACGGAATAACGTTCGCAAATATAATTTAACGGTCCAAACTCGAGAAATAGCAAAATATTTGCGTAAAAGTTCCAAAAATATATATAATATAACCAATTCGAACTCACAGAATTCACAGTTGAAGTAGCACTGGAAATTATTCACGCTAAAAGCAATGAACGCGTAACCACTCCAATGACCAATGTTCAATGTCCAAATCTTGATAAAGTCACAAAATGCGCGAAAACACCAAGTTAACAAAAAATAACACCAACGTTGTTTTAAAGATATCCTTACTTAAGTAATAACGCAATAATGTTTCTAAAAATTTAGCAGTAATTGTGTAAAAATTTCAAATGTCACGGAGCACTATTTTTTAGCGTCTTTACGCCATAGTGCGCGTGCTCTCCTCAAATAATAGCAAAATAATTGACTAGCGACTTCGAGCTAACCGCGTCGTAGTTCTTCGTAAATTGCCTGTATTAAATGCATGGATGCACATGCGAACGTTATGTAGAAACTTGTTAATTATGACTGTTGCATGCAAATTTATAACGCCATTTTAATACACTTGGCATGCATGTGTAACCATTTGTTTTCTGGCTTATTCATATGTGGTTATAGGTTACAAAATCACGAAGGAAGAGTACTAGATAAGATATCGCTGAATTACTATGAAGACTTAAAATGGAGGTTATTCCTGATCTAGAGAAATTGAAAGACAAGCTTCAGATCCAGAATGGTAAAATTCACAATCTTGATAAGCAGAGCTTTTGGAAAGATGAAATGCCAAATCTTAAGCGAAACTTGACTGAATGCGAGGAAATGGTACCACAGATCATAGAGAAAATCAGAGAATCGCCTCAGCTTTCCCGGGAATATGTGAAAAAACTAGAGGGAAGAATAGAATTCTTGGAACAGCGAGTCACCGAACTGGAAAAACAAAATTACTCTCTCCAAACTGGTCAGATTGCATTTGACTTCGAAAAGGATCTTGCAATATACATATATCCAAACGGTAAGAAATACGGATCCCGAAAAATATTTACGAGCATGAAAAATTGGTTGGAGATGAAAAAGGAGACACCGCAAGGAAGAGAAGCGAACAAGAAGTGGAATGATTTGAAGAAGAAGTTTTCCTGGTCGGAAGAACATGAAAAAGTGTTCTTCAAATTGCTCGAGTTCAGGAGGGTCTTTGCACATCCGCAAGTTGATCGTGAGGCGATTCAAACCCAGATTCCTGGCGACTTCAATGATGAGGAGAAGAAACGCATTCGAGATATGCTTGGCATGAATAAAAAAGTAAACGAACTAATGAATATTGATTGAAAAAAGTCTATCGAGACAGTCGCGACTGTCGCATATATAATTATATTAACGTACACACCAAAATTATACTTTTAAATTAAATGGTTGCAAAAATACAGACCTGTTTCAAAAAATAGACTTAGTCTAAAATTTTGAACACCTGCTAGACCACAGTAATCGGTATATCATAAATATGGGCGTTCTTAAAAATACTGTCACATTCTAAATTCCTTTCAATTTATTACATAGTGCTCCACTAGACTATATAGTAACGAGGCCATCAAACGGGCCCTCAAAAATCAGATGTATGCGAGCCTTATAAACACGGATCTAAACTATATACGTGCACGCCAAGCCGGGTTTTATTAATATTAAATATATATATATATATTATTGTGTTCTATACTATTGCATGTAAATATTGTAATCTAAAATATTAAATTAATGAAATACATATAATAAATTTAATATGCAAATATAATAAACAATTTCGTTAAACGATTCTATAACTGCATCGTCACAGAAGCCACTTCAGTCATACTGCTTGACCATGATTCTAAGCTTAATTGACTGTGAAATCAGACTGAGTGATGAAAGTATACTGTCTTTACTGTGCCAATAGAGCATCGTCAAAAGAAAAAATTGATAGTAAAACGAAAAACTTTTCTTAAATTTTCGTTGTTTTAAAAAAACTTTTAAATTGTTTTCAACTAAAGATGTACTGGTGTAGCAAGTAAAAATAGGGTGATGATACATTGAATTCAGTTGCCAACCTTATCCGAATATACTAGAAAATTAGTAATAATGCATGCATGTGCTATAGACAGAAATACTTCTGTAAAGGCCTTTTTCCCAGTTATCCCAAATTATCAAGTCATATTGGCTTTGCGAACTTCGCATGGGCCGGCATGGCTATATTTTCCGTATTTCTATATCTTGAAGTTAGTTCGTTTCTGGTCGCGGTAAACATTGCAAACTTCGATTCTCGAACGCTATGTTTTTTAACAGCAGGGAAACGGAAATTAACAAACTTCCAAGACAGTGTATTTTAAACTGTATTTATAACAGTAAGATAAATATCAAATGCTCAAAGCGATGGAATAGAACTCAAAGACAACATATTTTCGTAGTCATGCACGTCCGTGCATGAAGTATTTCAGTAATTCCCCGATCTGGGAAGTCACTCTTTCAAAACTAGGAGCTGTTGCTCGAAAGGCGTTTGGTTTAAACGGCACAGATCATCGTCTAGATTTTTTGATCGAACAGCTCGATTTTTTGATCGAACAAAATCTTCGTCTTGATTTTTTTCTCAATTGTGACCGGCCAAGTGAATCCGCTTAGGTCAAATTCCACAATTGAAGCAATAAAAAAGTTCCGCTAAGTGGAAACTGCTCTAAAGATATATTAGCAATAAAGAAATGACGGTCAAGTTACATTACATCTGTTCTATCTCCGTTTATTATTATCAAGTTTCCTTAAATATTTCGAAATCGTTCTTTCAAAAATTCGTTATTTTAGTCACCTTTCTTTTCTTATTCGCTGCCTACATGATGATAAAATAGGCCTACATGATGAGAACAATTAAAGTTCACAATATAAACATTCAGTTTCAACGCGTGATTCTTGGAATGATCGATATGACATCATTTCCGCAATATTACTATAATGAAAGAACACCATATAAAGGTGATGAATTAGTTTAAAGTAAATTATAATTTACATGCAGCAATACTAGTTCATTCAGCTGAACTCAAATCTGGTTGGGAGAAGTTTTTGGCCAAATACAACAGCTTCAAAATTGTAAGTATACGCGACCTGTATGTATATCTAACAATATCAGCGTTATCGATCGATAATTAGATCGTCTTAACTCGTCATCAATTTTAGTTCTATTAGACAAAGCGTATATGTTCTCATACTATAAACTGGCGTTTAATACCTAAACATCTTAAATAACTACAACAGTGCATGTATACCAGTGAGACGACTAGGCTGAATGAGGCCCTGCTTGATTTTCATAGCGATTATACGGCATAATCTTAAAACTATTTTATACAACTTCGGACTTCCGTTTATATAATTTACTTAGTTGTGCTACGTATTAAGAAATATTGCGGTAAAGACTCAAAAGAAAGTGTGATCAGATTGGCACAGCCGCATAGAAGGCCTTTTCTATCGCTCCCATGCAAAAATTAGTAATTCAGGCACAAATGAAGTATACGAAATAATGAATCGTAAAAACTGAAACTGAAAGAACTTGAATACTATATATCGAAACAATCTAGGTATACCTAAACGAATATATATATATACCTGCAGCTAATAAAAGTATGTGTCATTGCTTCCTAATGCATGAGAACTGAACTAGGATATCGTGAAGGGAGTTTAGTTTAATTGCGGTCTATAATACTGTAAGTAATATGTTTGCAGGTTTTTGCTTCATATTTAGGTTCTATTATGCATGCAGAATTAGTCGCCACTGACATCTTTAATTGAAAATTGGCAAATTTGTTTACATTTTTCATGCAGGCAAAGCCAAATGCCTAAATTTTTGATACTATATGTAAATTATTGATTAATGTACCTTTCTACTGGAAGTATTTCAAATTTGTGCATTCTGAATGGGTTAGTAAAATGTAAACAAATTTGGTATTTGGTCTAAAACGAAATTCCTCGATTCTTGTTGGTGTTAATTAGGTTGCTTTTTTGTTTGATCGGGTATTTTTCACTTGAAATATATTTAAAAAAAGACTACAATAGCCAACCTGCAGTGAAAACTAATCAGGTTCTTGGCAGGTTGGTTGTGTCTGTTGTGTATCTCGTGAGAAAAATACCCCATCAAACAAATAAACAACCTATAATAAACATCATTATTCTGCACTTGTTGTATTATATTACACCTGTTGTGCATTGGCGAGTTTGACAAAGTTTTTTCCTTCCCCAGCACAATCAACGCAACTTTGAAGCAATTAAACAAGGCTTAAAAATGAATAAAACAATTCCATCTTCAAATTACGATATTACGATTGTTGGAGCAGGTGCTTTTGGTACAGCTGTGCTTGGTCAACTTAGTCTTTTAGTGAAGGCCGCAGGATCGTTTCGCATACTAGTCGTAGAGGGAATGGAAGAATTTGGTCCGGGGTTACCCTACTCCAAGGAAATGACAATTCCAGATCATATTGTGAATATTGCAGCCGGTTGCACTCAAATAACCGCAACCTACATTCCTGTGTCTGAAAGATCCGATTTTATTGCATGGCTTCAGTCGCTAACTCAAGAGTGCCGTGCTTCGATTGGCGTACCGGAAAGTAAGAGCAGCACAGATTGGGTGTATCGTCCATTTCCCAGATATATCGTCGGTTTGTACCTTCAAGATAGATTCAAATCTTTCTGCAAGACGCTGGCACGCAAAGGTTTTGAAGTGGATTTGAGAAATCTTACAGAGGCTACTTCAATCAAGCCTGCTAACCATGACTCAAAACTTGGCTATGAAATCACATTGGATGATGAAAGTACTGTCTTTACTTGCACCCTTTTTATCGCCACGGGGCACTGGAGCCAGAATCGCCATCCACATTTTTCAGCGTGGATACCTTCAGTTTATCCACCACGCGTGTTGCAAGAGAGATCACAGTCGAAGACAAGCATCGGGATTTTGGGATGTTCTTTATCCGCTATTGATGCCGCACTAGCTTTGGGGAAGACAAAAGGTGTTTTCCAGCGAGTCGGCAAAGAGAAGGAAAAGAAACTGACCTTTTTGCCTTTCCAAGGAGAGGGAAAATTCAAGATGATAATGTATGGTCGCAAAGCAATTCTTCCCCAAGTGATGGGAGTGGTCGTCAATAAGATCTTCTCATACAAGCAGTTGATTCCGGAAAAGCTTATTCCAATAATCACAGCAAACAACGGTTTCCTTCCTTTAGAAAAGTTTTGGTCCCTTCTGAAGAAGGAAATCTATGACGAAGTTACCCATTTGCACCCGTATTTTCCCGATGACTGGGAAACTATTTCTTTGGAAGAAGCAGTGAACAGGCTCAACATGTACCTACGGCAGACGAATTACAAGGAAAGACTCAGTAAAGAAACAGAAGATGCGAAAGAAAGCCTAAAAAGTGGCATCCCTTTACTTCTGCAGAACGTCTTTTACCAATCATACGCCATCTTCGATGAGGTGCTGAGTTATTTCACTGCTGAAGATAGAATGCGTTTTGAAAACGTGAAAACCGAGTTGCATCTGTTAATCGCGCCCTTTCCTGTGCAAAATGCAGAGAAGATACTGGCTCTTATGCAAAGTGGCTTCCTTGAAATTCAGAAACTGGGAACTCAGTACACGATTACTGAAACACCCGAGACCAAGCAAATCAAGATTTCGTGGACCGAACAGAATCAATGTTTGGAAAACACCCATGACTTGGTTATTGATGCGCTGGGACAATGTGGTGATTTTGATAAAGATTCGTCGCCTTTGACAAAATCCCTAAAGAAGCATAACCTTCTACAAGAAGTTCTCGTCCCGTTTGGCGATTCGAAAAATGCCCAAAACCATTCCAAACATCCACAAGTGGTTCAGAGAAATGGTAGATATTTCTATCGTCCGGATGGTGCTCTTATTGATATACGTAGTTTTTCCCTAGTACCTTCAACAGATGTTACTTTAGCCTATCCAGTTTACTACATGGGTCCTCTTACGCAAGGTCAAGTCGCATTTCCTCAGGATTTGAGTGTTGTCACTACAGCAGCTGAGCGCTCAGTTTCCGACTTAGTAAAACGGGGAATCCTTGACAAAGGTATCAATACCTTTTCTCCAGAAGATCCTTCTCCTATGTACGGCTGGGTACTTAATGCAAAGGGTGACCTAAACGGGCAAATGAGATTAATGACGGAAGTACTAAAAGTACACAAGCGATAGGTTGATAGAAGATTCTTTGTTCAATCTTCGAACGAAAGAGACGTAGTTGCTAATTTAGTTTAAACAATTTTCTTTTTTAACTTGTATACTATGAACAGAGACAAGATAGGCGGATGCTTTGTAACATTTAGCTCTTATTCATTAGCTGTTGGGTTGTCCAACTCCAACCCAGTCCCTTTAAAAATAGAATTTTAGTTAAAAGCTGCTTTTAAATTGCTGACAAGATTTCGGCCTTGCAAGTAAAATAAAAAACTTTTGTCAAATTTTCGTTATTTTTAAAAATTGTTTTCAGCAAGGATACTGTGCATGAAGTAAAAATAATCATCGATAATTGCGGATGCCAATATTCATATATTCATAAGACTAGTGATTGCAACGACAACAGATTTCAAAAGAAATTGATAATGCAGAACATGAAAGTATGCATGAATATAGTCCCCCCCCCAATTATCGATGCTGGCTACGCCACTGAACATAATGCGACAATTAAACCTTTTCAGTTGCCAACCTTATCCGAATATACTACAAAGTTAGTATGCAATATATACTAAAACGTATGTGTAAGAAATATTTCTGAGTCACCCCACTCCATCTTCTAACTGATTATTTTTAGTTTTTTTTTTAGTTTTTGCTTTAGTTTAAACCGATTCTCTTTTTGAAATGCCTGTCTTGTTGCGCATGCATTAAATGAAATAGAATTTTAATAAAAGGCTTGAAATTTGATTAAAGGCTGCTCAAAAGTTGTTGATGAAAATCCAGCGTATCAACCCCTTATCGCCAAATAGAAAAATTTATAATGAAAACCGAATGAAAAACTTTTGTTTAGGTTTTTTTCTTCGTTATTTCGCTAAACTCCTGCAAAACGAAGAACGGTCAAGAGGATATACCGAGTAACACTTAGTATACATACAGGTGCTTTTCAGTCTCCGCCAATCTTCTTCTAAGCGTGACCTGTGCGTTTGTTTTGATTCAAAACCACATGCGACAGCTTCATCAGAATTATTTAGAAAATATAACGTTTATTCTTTGTAAATTGCAATTGTGCGGTTGGAAACTCATTCCGTCTCGTTATTCGTCGATATTTGGGAGATATAACCTGGCTGTTTTCTATTCTGCAGTGGTAAGTTCAATATCATATTATGTTATACGCGATATTTGTCGAATCCCAATGTGCGAAACGATAGCCGAAGAATGTAGTGCGAATTCCAAGTAAGAATCACCCTGGTTTTTGTGTTAGAATAGCAACAAATGTAAAAACCCAACAACCTTCTTTACGAACAAAACCTTGGTTTCTTAAATCTATCAAAAGAGGCTGTGTTTCTTTCGAATTCTCGGAATTTCGCCGGCAGGAAAATGCATAAAGTTCGTAATTAGGACAAACGCATTATACATTCAAGCAAGCTATAACGATGCTAGACAAACTCAAAATTTTCTGAAGCGTAATCAAATGAGACGTTCTTCGTATGGATTAAATGCAGTTATATACTAACATGTAGCTGTACCTTTGAAATATACATACATTGAACTTATTCGTCCGCCTAATCATCTGATAAATATCGATAATTATTTGATCTGAGAACAATTACTTTCCTAGCCATTGTGGCCTAGCAACGATTTTTGTTTTGCTTGCACGGTTCTTTCTGTCTGCACCGATGCATGGGCGCTGTTGCTACCGAAAAAGCCGCAACAAAAATATTCTAACTTTAACCCGCACTGTCACTTAACACCCTAACTATCAGGCGCTCAATAGTGTGCGAGAAAACGTGTTCTGTTTTTTTCAGCCGGAGCAGCGGATGACATTGCAAAGTTTGTAAAATTAGAGTTGCAAAAAAGTTGCGGGTACGCGGGTACCACCCGGAGGAAGGTTTGCTTTGAATGAGATTTGTAAGGAGGGTTCGAAGTCGAACACTCTAATTGATCACATGCATGTACCAAAAAACCAAATATTTCTTTATGCTGGTTGCCACTTGACTCAGTGACATAACGTCATTTTGAGGAAGGTTTTCAAAACTTGAAATCCTACCGGAGGAACTCTTTGCAACTCTGTGTAACATGCGGAAAGTTGTATGCTTTTGTTTTACACTACGATGGTGGCTATCAATACAATGGCTCATTGAAAGGGAATTCATAATTAATTAATATGGAGTTTATGAATAATTAAATATAGTGGGAGTTCTAGACGCCGTATACGTTCTGTTTATATACAACTGCAAATCTCCGATTTTCACGTCCTGCACAAAACGACTGCATTTCAGGACGCAGCGGGCGCTACCTCGAACTAGGCTCTATACAATTGATCCCAAACATCAACTTAATTTCGGGTGGAATCATACACAACTTAATCCAAGCAAGTCAAGAATGCTTTAACGTCTTATAACCGCTAAATTAACACTTGTACAGCAATTCTTGATATACTCTGAAGCCTGACTCAGTCTTCGCCGTTGTAGTGAAAATCTCGACTAGCTTGTCACGCGCCTTATATTTTGGGGAAAGTACTTAAAGTGCAGGTACATTTTTGACATACGTAGAGGGGGATTACCCGTTATTTTGCATTCCGTTTGTGGTGCAAATTTTAGATTTACAGTTCATGGACAACTTAAAAAGCACATTTTAGGTAAGGTTTCATTCACTTTTCCTATTTTTAAAGTAAGAAATCGTTCAGCTTGTAAGGGCTAAGCGATATGATACCTCAGTGATATTCACAAGTCTAATATATAATTGTACCTAATATGAAATGCTCACTTCTTTATCGATTATTTACTTGAGAATATACTCAAATATATACTTGGAAATATATACCCTTTTATTTATGCAAGGAGTTGGTTTTCATCGGACCTGGAAATAAGCAGTGTCGAGATTATCATGGCTGCAGTTCTACTTTTAATAGCACCATAAGGATACATAGTATGATTTTTCAGTTTGCCTACAAATTCTTTTAATGATATAAGCGGGAACATATTATAACGGTTACAAATCCTATACTTAAAGGGATATGGAAATAATTAAAGGGATGTAGAAATAAAAATTATTTCTGCATGTTTTGTTGAAAAGAAAATTTGCACTTCTTATAGAGCCTTTTAACAAAATTTGTTTATCTTCCTTACTTCGCAAGATATTGGCGATCAAAAACATCGACTATCGAGATATATCCGCCATGCATCAATAACAACTACATATGTTTACGCTTAATTTAGAACTCTTACAATTCAAACGTCATAATTTGAGATAAGTGTGATTGTAATACCATGGAACTGTCACTTTGCTGGATCGTTTATTTGAAGTTACAGAACTTATTTTTACCCAGCTGGTGACGTCATGCATATCAAAGCAAGAACACGCATATCCAAAATGGCGGATGGAAGATAATTTCATTCAAAAATATCTTGAGAAGTAATAAAGTTAACAAAAATCCATAAGCAAATTTTGTACATAATCATAACGTTCTTTTAAAACAGACAAAGATAATTTTTTTTGGCGTATCCCTTTAATAAGTGAGGGTGCATAGCGTCTATCGCATAAAACCAGTGTTCAGGCGCCTGCCACATGATACCCGTGTTTCAAAGAAGAGGAGATGGTTTCGTATTATTCGTGAGACTGACTGCAACAGACAATTAAGTGAATCACCAAGACCGTAAAAAACATGTTAATTTTACATTCGAGACATTCCATGTATGTTTTTAACAGCAGGGAAACAGAAATTAACAAACTCCCACGACAATGTATTTTAAACTGTATATTTATACCAGTGAGATAAATATTAAATGCTCAAAGCGAATGGAATAGAGTTCAAAGACAACATATTTTCGTAGTCATGCCCTGGAAAGTCACTGCCTCAAAACTAGAAGCTGTTGCTCGAAATGCGTTTAGTTTAAATAGCAGACATAAGTTCAAAATAGAAAACAAAATTATCTATTTTTTGAACAGTTGAGATGATTATATTTTCATTTAATAGTTTTTATTCATTGAAAGTATACATAGTCAATGCATAAGATTTAGGTTGACCATCCACAAGATGTCTGATAGTATATATTTATATACTTTGGCTTATTTATTTTTCAATTAAGCTAAACGCCTTTCAAACAGCTGGCCCTAACTTCAGTTGTGGCGTACAAATTAGGCAGTTGATCGATAAACCGTGCCGGCCGTAATAAAATTGTCGATGTGCCTGAAAAGAATGAAGTTTTCCAAAAGAATAGGTTTTAAAAGCTAAAATACCCACGAAGATGTGAATGACAGGAAATGGTAAAATACTAGGGGCATTTACTAAAACAATATTAGCTCTACAACAAAGCAATGGAGCTCCAATGGGTTCACCTGTGGGTCCTCCATATATACATTTCTACCATGCAGTTTACCAACAGTGCCATGCTGTGTTATTGAAAAGTTCTCCAGGAATAACTGTTAGATACCATTCTGGTAAAATAATCTGCCAGAAATACTGTAAAATATCAATCTGCCAGCTCAATGGGCTAACACCTTTGGGTAATTGTGCATAATTGTCAAAAAAGTTAGTATGCATGCTATAAATCAAATTGAGTAGCACTTTAAATGAAAAATAGATTTCAATTTATTATCACGACCTATGCATGTGTAAAGATGTAAATTCAGCATCCTTTATTACATGCGTAAGAAAACGACATTTTTCAAGCGATAATTTTGATGAAGGAGAAAATGTGTTTTAGCACAAATACGGCTGAAGGCTCCAGCTTAAATTTGGCCTCTGCACCTTGTTTTTATGTTGTAGCTTATTTTAACATTTATTGTTTAAAAAGTTTGTAAACTTACTTTTTTTTAAAAAAACTTTTTTAAAAAGGGCGTCCTTCTTCTCTGAACCTAAACCATACTGAACCTGAGAGAAAACCAGCAAGTGAAAAGAAGTAAAGACGGTCGTATGAAAGTGAACGCGTTCATCAATATCATTGTCTTCTAGTGACGTGCAGGATACGATTATTCAAGAAATTTATGAATCTTTGTTGAGAATTTGCAGGTGATTTAGTAGAGTATTACTAAAGGCCATAAATGATTTTGAACGTCAGAGCGGCCATTGGTACACACTTTAAAGTTCCTTTGCACCATACAGCTTTACTCTTTCAAATTTTGCACATTTATATTCTGGCGAACGTGAGACGTATAAATAAATATCATCTATAAAAAGAATACTCGATCAGTTATATTAAAAAATAACAACGCTCATCGATCATGTCAACCTTAAATTATATTATTAATGCAACAGTAAAGTATATTATTAATGCTTAAAAAATGTGGCTAGTAACAAATCAACAACCAAACTATACAACTTTCATTCATGTTTCAATTTAGACACAGATACAAAAATATACTGAAAGATACTTAAAAATATGGACAGGAAAGAAGAAGAGGAAGTCAGCTGCAGTTCGGAAGAAATGCCAAACGAAGTGCAATATGTGCAAACTAGAAAAACAGCCGAGATTACCTTTGGGAGATTCGCATCTCTGGAAACACTTGTGCAGAAAGCAATGATATTGCTGGAGAAAACAAATGAAAGACAACTACGACATGAATCCAATGGAATGTGGTCAAATGAAAATGAAAAAATACTTTTCTTACTGCAATAGAAGACAAACGGTAGAAGACAAACGGGCTTTGTGAAGGGAGTGCATGATTGCTTCTTTAACGCATGACTTTTAATTTTTGACAAATTAACGCAGGAAAACAAGAAGGAATTTCGTTTTGAACTAAACAAATCAGAATGCCCAAATTTATAATACTTCATATAAAGTGGTAAATGATGTACCTTTTTACCGGAAGTATAATCAATATTTATGCATTCTGATTGGGTTACTGAAAATGTAAAAAAAATACTGATTGGTCTAAAATGAAATTCCTCATTGTTACGTAGAAATAAACTGAAACAAGAAATTGTGAGGCAGGGATTAACTTAGGCTGCGGTTAGACTGTTTGCTCAAAGTCAAAACAGTTTCGTTGAACATAACGGAGGTAGTACCCGTTCTTAAAGACGTATACACATATGTGTTTACCTGATCGCCAAAGAAGACGGGCACCAGTACCAGACACAATGAACACACTTTAGTCCCTCGTGTCTTTCTAAGTTTGTTCCTTATGAGGGATTTTTTAGTTTGTTCTATCTATTTTTCAAAATCTCTGAAAGTCCGTTCTTTTAAGGTAGTCCTAAGAAGAAAGTAGTTCTTATGACTTTAATACACATGCATGTCCAATATATCAGCATTAATGCCAATTTTGTAACTTCCCATATTTCGTTTAACGAACTATATACAGTCTATATCGCGCACGAGTATGGCTTATGCAAACCCTCGAAGGGTTAATAGAGTTTTACTAGAAAACATGTATATAAATGATTGTACCATTTGTAATTAATTTTGTTAGATAATGCACGGACAGGGGTCAGTTGTATAAAAGACTAGCTAAAAGTTAACTGTAGGACCGAATTGGCCAATCAGAGTTGTATATTTCTGAATTAACTAGGATTTAACTATGTAAAATGTAGTTAAAGAGTTTTATACCACCGGCCCCAGAACAAATACCAATATGCGAGCAAGGTGTATTTAGAAACCTTTAATTTCTTAGACAATCGTAGACATACGATTCTAGCAGTTTTGATGGTGACTACAGCAATTGTTTGTGAACAGCTGTGCTTGATTAACGGTATGCGCAAATAAACGACTGAAAAAAAGGCTTCCATCACTAACACCCGTTCAGCTTATCACATAGAGATCGGTTGCAACAACGAGGAAGATTCACAAGCCACTGATCTCAATATAGCAAGTGAACGCCATCTTTTCTGCTTTCCAACAAAGCGCTTGGGCAACATATTGATACGTTCAGTAACCGGATTGAATAAAATTTACCCAACCACAATATTTCCATTCGAAATGACTGGCGTTTCGCAAAAAATAGCAAGCACGATTTTTGAATCGGTCTATGCACGATTTTTATCATGATATTCAAGTCAATATTCATCAAGCGGAAGGCACATGCACTATAACATTTCCGAACACAAATGCACGAACGTGTTATTATTGCATGTGTCTTTTGTATTTGTATTTCCGACCATTAATAATAGGTTTTCAAAACGTTGCTATCTAAGTCGATATGTCAGTTCTTTGTATTCTAAACAGCCTTCGATCCGACACTCTCACAAGGTGATCAAAACCGGCCCACGCAAATTGCTGCTCTTTATACCATTTTCAAAAACCGATTGAAAATTTGCCATTACATATTGTTCTTAGTATAAATAAGTTAAACAGGGGAATAATTGTACGGGACTATCTTACAAGTACACGTGTCTCACAAGTGGTCATCGTGAATATTGGCTGGAACTTTGGCCAGCTTTCTTGGCATATTTCGAGGTTGTCGGATTTCAGTCGCAGCATCAAAGGAACAAAGTCCGATTCAAATTGTTGCTTTGAAGGAGTGCCCAACTCACTTGGGGGAATTCATTACTGATCTTATCATAATTAAATGATCCAAATACTTGGGAAGATATCACCCGCCCCGCAATATAAAACGCAAGAAAGTTCACGCGACGCACACTTTAAACGGAAAACATACTTAAAGTTTAAACTTTTCCCCAAGTTTACAAATCGAAAACTTCAATGGAACGTTTTACGGATTTCCTGAGCCTTCAAAGTCCGAATTGTTATTCAGCAAAAATCAACGAAGCGAGCAATGCACTTTGGAACGCACGAAAATCTGTTCTCGATTACTATTCTTTTTCTCGGCCAAAACTGATTCGGTTAGGTAGGAATTTCAAAAACAACTGCATCACAATTTAATGATGGTGGTTTCCACAAAGACAGCTCTGTTTTACAATAACTAATTATTTCATGTTCTATAGCAAGGTAATCAAACGCTTTCGAAATCGCTGTTCATAATTTGTGAGGAATCCAAAGAATTATAACCGCATTAGACAAAAGGGTTTGTTTTGGGTTGGTTTCGCAGCGGGGCTTAAGAAAATCGCTGTCACGCTGCGCCATAACCTTAATATACCGTTATCACGCGCGCCACCCTGGGTATCGACGCAGCGGCGTTTCGCTGGACGACCCTGACATTCGCAAAATGCAGCCAACTCATCAACTCGTTGGCAAGCGAATATTGGCTTTTGCACTGCCTCCATTGTAGCGTGTACCCCGAAGGCGGAAAGTTAAATTTAGGAAATAATTTATGCATCTGGTGTAGGCCAAGGACAAGCTTCAGAAAGAAACGCCGCGATTTGCTGGAACGCCCAGACAAGCCCGTGCACGGTTTATAATTAACCTAATTTATACCGAGGTTTTCCAAAGCTGCAAAACTGCAGGTCTTCTTCCCCGAATTCAGCGTGAAAATCCTTTCCTAGCCTACGTATGCAGTGTACCATTCAAAAGGAATTCAAACTAAATGCACTTTGTATTTCCTGGGTATCTCCAATAGTTGTTAACTCTCCACGCCAGAGATCCAGTGGCAGTGACATCGGTCGGTATCCAATCTGTTACTGATACAACAAAATTATCTACAAGCGGAATAATTCTTTTCGATTATATCGATACAATCATCTTGTAACTAGAAGCAACTTGGAAGTTCTCATGCCTACCTACTGATTACGTCACACAGGGAAGGTCGCTTTCTCGAATGTTCAGTCTGGTAAAAACACCATGGGTTAAACTTTAATTAGATTAATTCGTAACCTTCCTGGTTGTTCTATTTTATCTTTGATTTCCTGCGAGCAAGCATCTGTTCGCCTGTCTCGAATGTGCAATTTTACCTGATTGATGCTACACGGGGCTCGTGCCACTCCAAGATTCAAAGCGTTATTTAAACCATATACACAATATATTGTTAGTGCTGAAACAGAGTGAAGACCATGTTTTTAAATGTTGGGTTGCTTTTTTAATAAACTCACAGTCACGGCTGTGCTGAAGCATGATATAACATGCAATTATAGAACGTACTGTCTAGAAGGTGGACCATTGTTGCTGTTTGATAATGTACGGAATTTACTTTCGAGTTATTTGATACCATTAATGGTTATTGATGTGAACAACTATATTACATAATTTAAATGTTGGCTTCCAGAGCGATGATGATGATTACAGAATCATATGCAGTATGTGCATGCACGGTTACCTAAAGCACTCAATGCCAAGTTATAGATGATTAGGATTATGAAGAACAAGTAATCTATAGTAGGTACTGTAGGTCTTAAAGTAAGAAGTCTAATGTAGAGAACTCACAGCGAGTTATAAATGATTATATTGTGCAGGAACAGTAAATGCATATATAGGCATGACATATGTGGTTTACCCTATAAGGATATTTTGTGTATGAGAGGCAAGTCACTGCATATTGTGGAAACGTGGTTATCCTAAAGACCCATGCAATGTTGTACATATAGGTAACTGAGGCAATTGGATTTTGAAGACTAATATGTGTAGGCTTATATGCAGCTGAGATTTCAGGAAATTTAATGTTAATATGCAGAATTCGGGACTTTATATGCATGCATGCTTAGATAATGAAAAGCAAGTGCTTTGACGTTGATATTGTGGATTTCCTTAAAATCATCTTAAAGGTTGTACAGTACTGACTGCAAGGTTAAAAGTTCGTATCTAGTCAACATGCAGATTGCAAGTGTATAGACTCGAATTTGACTTCGCATAAGGTGCATGACCTAATCTTGTAACAGTATTAAAGCTGTTGAGGAAGTATGATTAGATTATCGAAAATAAATGTATTTGGGATGACTAGACACATTATTTATGATTATTACAAAGATCATCGCAAATAAATTTTGACCATTTTTTAATTCCGCTGTTAAGAATTTTTTGTTAGTTTATATGTCGAATAAGACGTATATTATTGAACTGGAGTACAATTTTCAGCGAAAGTAATGCAAAAGTGATAAAAAAAACTTAGCTCAAGACCTTCCTGTACATGTGACAGGCATCTTTTCCATCTCAAAATCTTCGTCACCTTTTCAAAAACGGGACCCAATCTCATTTGTCTTGTTGTTAAAATCGGATAAGACTTTCACTTCCTTCCCCTTCAACAAAAACAGAGATGACATTGCGACACCTTAAAAAAATTAAGTACGAATACCGGTTCTAGACCTACTGAAGAGGCTGTGTGAGTGCAAGGGAAATCGCATGCACGAAATTTTACTCTAAAAATAAACCAGGGTTAAAAATGATGTACAGCTCGTATCTTTGATTTCCTTATTTTCATTCAATAACTAACCTCGTTGTATGAAAAAATATTTTCGTTTTTATATTTAGAAATTATGACCGAAATATATCAGCCCCCATTTAAATTATAGATTATATCATGTTATATATGTAAGATTTAATATAAACCCCAGGCTTCGTTGCACTGTCTTTCACACCGTCCTATAGTTTCGGGATATTTCAAGGTATATTTCATAACATTCATTCAATGTATCAGTAAATTACAAGGGGCTGAAATATAAAGTAAAAATCAGCTCCTTGAAATGATTTGCAATCTAATACAGAGGAAATCGTGGGTTGCTGGCCCCCAAGCGAAACTAACAACTTCAAATGTGCCTGCAAAAATGCGTGGCATTTGAAAATTCCAAACCTAAGACTTAAAGCTATAGTTGTGTATTATCGATGCTATATACTCAGTATGCAGGAATATGCAATTTTGAAAGCACAGAACGGGATTTAGTCAAAAGATCTGAAAAGCTGAAATAATCATATTTTATGCATAATAACAGCGAAATTTGAATGAGCCCTCTCCTTTAACCTACGCATCTGCGAGTATACAATGACGCATCCGTTTAAGGAAGCTTTTGAGGGCGACCACAAAATGTGATATAGTGTCTGCACCTATATGTGCCATGTTTAACAATATGACAGGGAACTTTTGTTTCAAGCGATGGTGTACTAAAGTAATGTAAGCCACTCTTTTATTTACAGATATACACATGATGTAGCGATAAAGTCTGAAACAATTCCTCCAAGTGACGCCGAAGCGTTTTCAATACGGTAAAAATCACACCCGTTGAGAACGCTTTGAAACGAGAATTTTCACAACCGCATTGATGAAGGAAGCGTAAATCAAAACAAATCAACACACTGCAATGCACCATCACGTTTATAACCGTCGAAACGAACTTTCAGTGATATATACCCTTTCACAAAGACTTACAGCTACAATATTAGTTTATTGAGAAATCAATCCGTAACCGTTTGAAGATTTGTCAGAAACAACTTATAATCGTAAACCACATTTATTTCAAAACAATTACACGCATCGTGTACCGCCCATTTCAAGTATAGGCTATAATACCTAGCGAGAATCTACACAAACAGCATTTCCAAGGGTTTTAAATAGGTTGAAATAAGCCTTCTGAAGTTCGTATATGCCACAAGTAGTGGAAACGTAACGCCTAAAGTGCATTTCAAGACACGTGCAACAAAAGGTGGTTTTTCACGACCAGGAAATAGAATTATTATGTACACGTATACCTTTGGCTCTGTGCACCACGTAAAGTTCCCAATATAGCCTTTCTTCGACTATATATAACCAAAGTGATCAAAGACATATACGTTTCTTTGACAATGCGGAATTTCATGTCCATGCATGATCTATAGACTATAGTTACATCACGAAAATCACCTCGCTATACAGTATAATTCTCTGCAAACAACGAGCTTTCGTTTCGACTGAACAAGTTTATTTGTTTAGTTTATATACATGCGGATTTATAATAACCCCATATCGTATGGCAAATTGAAAAGAGGTCCTATTTCCCCATCCTCACAATGTTTTATATTTGTTTGCAGATGTAATGCCGTATTGTCTTGCGGCTGCCAACGCATTGTGCTCGCGAATAAAGCTTTTCTTTCCTGACATTTACATGGTTAAGAAACTTGTTAAATAGCCGTATTGTGTGTCGAGGACCTTTTGAATTAACGTTATTCAGTTTAGCGAATAAATAAAGGGGCATACCCATCCACGATTTTAAGTCGAACAGGTTCGTAGCCTCGGTACTGAGATGGTTTTAAAGTCAAAGCATATATAGGAAAGCATATTACGAAGCACCACAAATTATTCTATTGACTTTTTTGTCTTAATTAACATTTATAAATATACTTCTAGAAGGCCAACTTAAATCGACCGAGTTACCCGCGATAATAGCTCAGTAAGACAGTATTGTTAAACAGTAAGGTAAAAAACCAGAATGCATGCAATTAAATTTATTAAACTTCTGTTATGCGTGTGTGAAATTGCCACGTCGCACTCGAGTTTTGAAACTTTCGACGCGAGACTAATGACACTTTAACGTGGGAAGCCAGAAAAGCTTTAAGACAGGCCGACGGGAAGAGAATTTCTACAATAATAAAAGAAGGACTTTCGCTGTCAACGTAATATTTTCGATACTCCCACGATATAGATAAATATATACGTGTATTAGTGAACTTACAGAGGAATTTCCGTAGCTGTTTGACATAATACCCCCAAAGACTTATTATGTATAAGGTATGCAAATATGCCGACGGATTGAAGTGTCAGAAATTCAACGCCCTTATAACAAAATATTTATTGACGATTGCTCTCAAGTCCTGACGCGAGAGTCAACCCTCAAAAATAGTCAACTAAAGCTATTCCCTGTCGAACACCGAAACGCTTGAGCTATCTATATATATTATAAAACTCCAGTATATATAGTCATCTTATTCGGAAATATTGGCAACAAAGTTCTTGAAAAGTATAGCGGGGTTCTTGAAAAGGTAGCGGTTATATAAATGGTCCCATAAAGCGCACAAAATCCCCCGATTTTATTATTATTATTAGAGAGAGAGGATTGTTGGCAGTCTATATAGCTTTGGTCGTGACAAAGAGGATAAGTGCCCTTATTCGTTACGAGTTGTGCACACTAGAGTACCGTTATAAGCAAATACATAAACAAGCACTTATCTTTGAAGAGGTTAAGCCTCAAGAAATCTTTATTTTAGCCAAGACGGATTTTATATTTGCCAACGAGGCTACTTAAATTCCTCCAAATTGCTCACGACAACAAGGAACGAATTGGTGAAGTAATCGTGAATCTCTCTTTATAGGCGCCGTGTTTTGTTGTTTGAAAGAAGCTTTTAGTTCTGGCCGGTTTAGTGAATGATCGTCTAATTGTACGAATAAAACTTAACCCTTCGAGTCACACTGGCGTCTAAGCCCATTATTAGCGCTACATATATATGCTTCTTTCAACATTCACAAGACTTGATAATTAGTGATCTTTCGATCGTTGCCAAAATAATTTTGGCTCGAAGCGATTGCTGTTCTCGAGTACATGCTGTTCTCGACGCTTTCTTGAAGAACTCCGACACATTGGCACCCCGAAGTTCGAGATATAGGACATGAATAAACGCAGCTCAATATTGTGGTTATGCAAGCAAAACGGACAATGAATTGACGTGTATTCACACCCTGATCTTTCCCAGAACAACCGAATATCGCTAGTTTATGTATTCCGTAAGAATATATACACAATTTATGTATCCAGTTCGAAAGTAACAAAAATACAGTACAGAGTAACTAGAATACATTTAATCAATCACACAAATTGCAACACTCCCTTGCTCAGAGTATATGCCGTAAATTAACAGTTATCAAAGCACAAAATTTCAGCACAATCCGACGAGTTTCTTGCCGGCAGTGTAACATAAATACAAATCGGAATTCATTCACACAAAGTTCAATGTAAAACTCAGTTTTTGAAGTGTTTCTTCTGCCTTAGATATACAATGGCTTCCGCCGATGTCTTTCTTCAACCATATCTATAGCACTGAAGAACAGATTTGTTGGACAAGCTAGTTGAATTTTTGGAAGCGAAAACTGCCTAATGATATTCTCGATCAATAAATAATTTCACTAAACGTCTGTAAATCTTTATAAACGATTTAAAAACGAGCCGTCAGTGACCACTAGGAACTAAACGAATCTATAAGTTTATATGTCTCTGGGTAAAGTATTGTTGATAGTGAATTTGTGGGTTATCGGAATTCGTGGAGTTCACCGGCATAGCTGGGCTACTAAGCGACGTTGTGGTGCCACTATAAACCGACGTGGCTTGGGTGGGGACGTTGATTGGGTCAATGGGGTATAGGTGGGGTGGGGCTCCATGCATCTGGACGACATCAGGTCTGTACCCCGTCAGGTCGCGGCCTATATCACTGTGGGTGACCCCAGTTGGAGAATGGACATTTCCTTGAGATTGCGAGTAAAATGAAGCTTGCCTTGCAGCCTGATAGGGATCGTGGTATTGCATGTAGGTGCTTGAGGGCACTTGGTAGTAGGGGTACATGCCTTCTGGGGGCATGGATTGTGGGTATCCTGGTACCTTTAATGCACCGTTATCTGCCGTGGGTGGGAAAGGAAAGGGGAAGCGAGTGTCCTTTTTCACGGGTTTCGGTTTTCGTCGGCGGGGTTTATATTTGTAGTTTGGGTGGCGGACGCTGTGTTCGGCCTGCAAACGCTTGGCCTCTTCAATGTAAGGGACTTTCTCTTTCTCGGGCAATACTCGCCATTGCAGACCCAATGCTTTCGAGATCTCTGAGTTATGCATTCTCGGGTGCTCCGCGGCCATCTTGCGACGCATGTCACGGGACCAGACCATGAACGCGTTCATTGGTCGTTTGATATGTTGTTCGGATTTCGTCGATGGCTGCTCGTTGTTCGTCGCCGCGGCGCCAGTCTGTGTCTGAGTTGTGGTTGCCATCTCTGATCGATAAGTCACTTAACTCGTTTAAATATTTGATTAAAATGTTTTAAATCCTCAAATCTAAGTCTGTATGAAGCCTTGAATATATACTTCCCAGTACGACTTCTTCAACACTTGAGAAATATCGCCTCTTGTTCGCCTTTGAGATTGTCACCACTCTACCGACAGTTTTCCTTTGCTGTATAAGTATTCGCAAAGTCCTGGAATGCACAAGATTTAAACGTATTTTAAAATTCTCACTTTACCCTAAACGACACGTATTTCAATGAAGACAACTTTACAATACCTTTGGGACTGTGTTCGCAGGTTTCCTTCGACGAGTCCCTTCTTCGCGTGAAAATTCAGCGAGAACAAATTCTGTGTGGTGCTGTAAGTCTGGTCCTAACACCAAGTCCAGGCGCTCGTGAGAAAAGCGCTGTTGTATATGTAATGTTTTTAATCGCCTTAACCAAGCGACACGGGATGCAACGCGATAGCTGTGTAAGTGGCGAGGCGAAATTTGTCCTCGAAATAAATCTGTGCTAATCCTTGTCGCTTTGCACGTTTCCTTCCCTTGGCGCGTCGTAAGAGTTTTTAAGTCCGGCTGTCCGTTGTGCAAATACTGTTGTGAAAACTTGACTGTTTTCCCTTTGTCAACGTTCTTATGTGTTAAAGAATATAGTTAACAGATCTTTTCAACTGTCTTTACATCGCAAACAAACGAAAGACTGAGTTAGTAAGCTACGAACAAAGCTATTTAACGTTTACCCCTTGACTGAACACAATACACGTTTTCAAATGGTAATTAACATAACTATTGCCTCCATAATGCGCTCGGACAAAGAAGCGTAGGTTATTTACTCTGAATAATTAATTAAACGGTGACAACTTCACTCAATCCGCAGTAAATTCGCTCAAAACAAACGCGACCCGCGATAGGCTTCGCTAAAACCAGCCCTTTCTCAAAAGACAGCTCACCAACAACCCGTCGGAAAGCACCAAAACTTCGTGCAGATTTTGCCTGCCTCCCAGCAGGGGAGTTAAGCTAGACTTCACAATTCTTGGTATTTATATATCTTGCTACCCTAACGCAGCTTAATTGCTTTTGCGGCGTATTTCAAAAGTATGCTCAAATAACGCGAAGTTTGGAGAAAACTTTGAAAAAACGATGCATCGTTTAATGAAATTATTCATAAGGCTTTTAGGCTCGTTTAAAACGCTTTCTCAAGCAAATTGAGTATGGGTCGATAAATATTTTATCGACGAATTCTTTCCCAAGTTCATTGAGTAGCGGAGTAGATGGCTGGTTGAAATTTGCCTAAAAGCTTTATTGCTTTTAACTGCATCTTCGCAGACTGCTCGCTAGACATAGCATATAAATATTATGTATTTTGTTTAAATATCTCATAGAAAACATGTAACTATTATAGCGCTAGATTGTTTGACGCTTTTCAAAGCACGTTTCGCTCTGTTGCCGAGCGGAAATTGAATTTTATGTGACAGGCACAAACAAGTAAAATCAATTAAAATCATTGCCAATAATGTTCCTCAGTTATTAAGTGGTAACAATGCTCAATTTCATAACTAGTTAACAGTTTTCCTAAATCTACTTTGCACAGTTTTGTGTATGCCTTATTGAAGATTGAAGGAAATCATAAAATCTGTAATTTTCTTGGTCTGGTATAAAAACCCACGTTCTCGTCGGATCAGTCTAGTGATGGGAAAAACTATATGGCCGTAAACATTTGATCTCTACTCCGGTTATAGTGAGATTCTAAACTTGGAGCAACTTATTACCTAGATTATTTAACACTATAAGTGGCCAAAGTATATGTCTTGAGCTTAATCCTCCTGCTTTCCTGTTAAATTAGATTTAAAAGGATTTCTACTCCGGTGACAAATCATTTAAAATTGAACAGACGAAAACAGAACGAACAGTCGAAATGATGAAAGGAAAGATGTTCGCTTTTATATCGATTTTGAATACAAGAAGACATTTCTTAATTGAAGCGAGCGATATTATGTATACCTTCAAAATACACATTAATATCGACTTGAAAGAGGAAAAATTTGAAACGCGAAAATTTGAATTCAATTTACAAATCAAATGCTTCGCACTCGGGGACAAAGATGGCGGAATGTATTATATATTTAACACATTAAACTATACCCCATAGAAATTATCGATTACTGTTAATCTTGATCGCCCCAGAAATATATGTTGCATAATCGCGGCTTTATAGGGTGGGCCGCTCCGCATACCACTGTGATTGTAAACTGCATCGTCACAGAAATGAAAGAGCTATTCCGATAACAATCTGGAAAAAAAACACCGGCAAAATAGTTTCAAACCTGCGTCTAATGGTTCGCAAAACGTTGCTACAATCAACGCTGCAGTTGCATGACGTGAATTAAATGACTACAAGCAGTAATTTTCCATAGAAAAGCATTGAAAATATTTATCAGAAAGCCATTGAAATTTTGTATTTATTTTGACGCGGTATTGTCGAAATGCTTGACAAAACAATATGTAAACGAATTATTATTTCAAAGCGACACACGCGTTCTTTGTCCGTGGGCAAATATCGGCTTTGTATAGAGCATCGATACATTTCAAAAAAGATAGTCGTTTGCTTGTTTTACTGTTTGTTTCGCCTGTATAAGGTACAATGTACGGGAGTAGCGAATATATGATAAGTACATAGAGAAGAATCAATTCGACTTTCAAGAGCAACAATTGTTTGTCGCTGGAATGACATAAATTTGCAACGACGTACGTCAAATTCAAATATATTATCTCGTAATCGAATCAGTATCAATACGTTTCACAAATTACGGTCATTTGCATGCACAAGGATATAAGAATACCAATATCCTTGTACCTGTAATAAGGAATACTCAATGCAGCAATATATGTAGTCATTAAAATGTTCTAGAAGTCGAGAATTCGCTATTTAAATTCCTTGACCTTCTTTGCAAACTGATGCAATAATGTAAAGACTGTCGCCCAGGCCTATTTGTGTCTATAAAAGGTTATAGTTAGGGGAGCAAGTCTGCATGCTTAAAACTCATACACGACATACATAGAGTGTACTTTAGTCTGACAATCCCTAAAGCGAAAATAACCACGATGAATTGCACTTGGCAGTACATATAATAGTTGACCACTATATAGAGGCAGATTTGCTGGCTATAGCGCGCCAAGCAGCCACAATCAGTTTGAACAGTTCATAAGAAACAGATCTAGTCCAAAATTTCTGGAAGTTAGTGTTGGAGCAGATAAAAAATCGAGTCTAGAAACTGGTCCTGGAAACTAGATTTGCCACCTTCGTTAATAATTCGCCCGAATTCGCGGTTTATTGAACTGTCTTCAATAAAAGCGATTTAAAGACGTACTCACATTTGTGACTGTGGGGGTTGGCCCACACAATTGTCAAACGTTAAAATTCGAGCGATAAGCATGCGATGAACGCAGATGAACGATCTTAAGTGATTTTTAAACCTCAGGTGCCACGTAATAATAGAAATATATAAATATAAAACGAGTATATAGATTTGGTATAAGTAGCATATTTGTATTCTTACGAAGTCAACGAGGTGTGGTAGGATTAAGCCATAGATTAGGTTTACAGTTGATTCAGGTTAATCCTAAATCGAACCCTAATCCTAACATAATCGGCAACGATTAAATTCGTGTATTTAGAATTTACACGAGGAACGAGGTTACACGAAACCCTAAATTTCACACACCGCTCATATTCTATGGTCACGTAGCTGCCTAAACATGCACCACTAAAATATATCCGAATAATCAAATGCACTCCGAAGTGAATATTTTTAGCTGAGAATGAGTACTTTCGAAATCCTTAGTTTCGATAGTCCACACTCCAGTTACAAAAAGGAGCATTGCGTCCAGTGACTTAAAATATGCCCTAACCCCCCCTCCAAGCGTTCGGTGAACGATGTAAATTTGTATAAGCTAAAGCACGACATAACAATACAAAGAAAGGAATTCAACAAACCTTGTCACTACTGATTCAATGCAATTACAAACTTCTCTCCGAATGGCGAGGTGTAGTTAATATTAACAGCGGTGTATATTCCTTTTGGCATGCCCAGATCGGCCAGGTACGTCCGACACTCAGTTGGGACATCGATCTAAAGACAAATAATCGAAGTGTAAGATAAAATTTCTTTTAATCCTGTGCATATTAATTTGGGAAAATTGGTCATTTTCAGGTGTCACGGTCATACTTACCAGCGGTAAACCAAATGACAATGACCACTTTGATTCTACTCCTAAAACAGGTGTAAGACAATGGTTGTTAGAAACACCGCTGGATGGCATTTGAATGCGATGCACACCCATGCTGTACTAAACTAATTACAATAAAGATATGGAGACAAAATATCGAATCGTTTGAAAGCTGTCAGGCAGTTCAAAAATACAAACAGCTTGTCTATAATACTTAACAAAAGAAGCACAAAAGTTGGATACATTAACTCCACTAACCCAGCATCCGAGAGCGAGAGCAGGGGTCTAGTAACAAAACTGGTGCTTTATTCTCATTGGCCCATTGATTGACTGACGTAAGCTCTTGTGATATTTTATACTTGATTCATCTCTGGCGAAAACAGCGCGTGGATTACAAGGTCCACCGGCTCTTTGGGAAGATCTGGAGAAAAAATGCATTTCAACATGAACTTATACAGTACATGAAGGTACACGTGGGACTAAGGAAATTATTTAGGTTCTGTAGGACTTATATGCGTGTCGACCAATTATCTGCTCAAAACGTATTTTTGCGAAAAACTAAAGCATTTGCTTCAATCCTCGCTGAGTTAGCATTCCGTTTATTATACTTCAGTGGTGTGGACTCAATGAATGGCAATTTACCTCGCAAAGATTATACCTATACCGTACCTGCAACGTTTGAAATAAGTTTGGAACCAGTATGGAAAACACAAGATGCGGACTAGATTCTGGAATAGAGAGTCTTTTAATGCAAGAAGAAATTGAAATTCTCTATTTATTATCTACTATATTCACAAAGAAACATCTATATGGAACACTGCACTATAAATACAACAATATACCTACTTCTGTTTCACTGGCACTGTCAAAGTCACTTGAACCTAGGATTAGAGAATGTCATTTATAAAATTTTGACAATAAGCTTTTGGACAATGAAGAAGTCCTATAAACTGAAATTTTGCAACATCTTCCCGATTTCTTCCTTCTTTGAAGTTTAGATATTCAAAAATCAGTTTCGATGGATGTTAAACGCATTTATAAGGGCAAAAAATATTAGAGAAATTCTGGAAAGTGTCCGAACACCTTCTTATATAATACGTTTTATATAGCGACTTTTCACTTTTACATTATTGATCATTATTTACATTATGATCATTATTTTACACTCATTGATCATTATTTTACATTATTGATCATTATTTACACTCATTGATCATTATTTACATCATTGATTGTCATAGCAAGACTTGCCTTATGATTGGCCAGATGCCTGGCAGCACAAATTGCTTGAATACCGACAGCGTTTGGTCCAGCCAAGATCACGACATGTGGTGTTGATGAGCGTTACGTTGAGTGAGACGGTTACTGCCACCTGGGTAGAACAAGTCAAGAAAACGTCGAGTCAGCACGCATTATGTACTACACTGATCTAAAAACAATGGCTGGAGAGAGCGCACTGACCCACATATAGCACTGGATTAGCGCCTCTTGTGTTAAAATAAAGTAAATATCAACGATAAGTAGCGATTTAAGGGATTTAATTTTTAAGAGATTTAATATTTTCCTCTACTCTAAATTTAATCTAAATTTGGCGACAATTACAGTAAAAAGGTCGAATTTGAAATCCAAACTTTGGGCCGTTTTTACACCACGTACTTACCCACTAGTTGGAGGGCCATCTGACATGCGCACAGGCCTGCGTTCTCAACCCTCTGTGCCTCACTAAATCCCATGTTTTCTGAAAATTTAGCGAAAATAGTTATCCTTTTTGAAAACTAAGTTTATGATTTAAGCTCAAAACGTTTCACGGGTTCCAGACGGAAAAAGCATACAATACAGTTTTCCAAGCAATCCAGAGATTGTAAAGTCCCGAATAGGTGAACTAAACGGAGCAGATAAAGATATCCTAGACCCACCTGATACTTTAAAGAGTTTATTCTCAATTGTACTGATATACAAGGCACTATAACGCTTCATCCGTGTGGTACTCTCGTCCTGTATGCTAACGGCGCAACAACTACAGGAAGCGAATTACTTTATTAATGGTACTGAAAAAAGGTCATTATTAATTGCACATATTATGCATTTTTTCACAAGCTCTTTTTCTCTCTGCTCACCAACCCTACCCTGTGCAAGCAAAGCTATGCAATTAAATTATGGAAACTAAAGGAAAATTACAAATTATGGCTATTCTTAGCTAACTGATCTCTAATGGCATCTGAAGCAACCTATATGTTTTAAAGTGCCCAGGAAAGTGACTCAATTAACTCTTCAAACAACCAGAATCAACTAATCTACTTGCCTTAAATTAACAGGTTCTGTTCTTGTTCCAAGACATTTTCATCATGTCTCAATTTTCTCTCTCCTTGAGGTTTCTTCACTAGGGGCGTTGTTTTGCTTCCTATAAGATAAACAGTGTGTTAGGCCATAAAATACAATAAGATGAAATAACCTTTAACAGAATTTTAGTATATATAGTGTTAAAATATAATATATCCAATATACACTCTTACTTACCTTAATCCTCAAAAATAGCTCTTATCAAACAACTTCAGATTTTTCTGACAGAAAAGAGAAATTTTAGATACAGTGATTTAACAACCCTTTTAAATATAATATATAATATATATAAAAATAATATAATTAAATATATATAATGTGAATTGTGTGCAAAATATATTTACTTCAAAATCGAAATCAGGTACTTGATGTCATCCAGAGGTGTCCAAAACATTCCTATGAGAAAATAGGGGGTTATAAATTTTATTTGATACATATTACAAAGTTGTGAACAAATTTGTGCACATGTAGTAGTCATTGTTGTGGCATGTGCTTAACATACATAAACAACATAAAAACTTATTTTTCTTTTTAAAACTGATCTCCTGTTTCATTACCACTATTCTTTTTGCTCTAGAAATTGAATATTACAAGAATTAAAAAAAGCACATGGACGGTAAGAATTTTCTACCATTACAATGATTAGTGTTAGTTGTTAGAGTGCTAGACTAAAGAAAATCCGGACACTCCTACCTGGGGTGTAAATTTCTTTGACGCTGAATAAGTTTTCTTTGGAGACATAGGCTGCTCCTGTGAAAGCAATAGACATATATTGCTCAAAATAAGACTTCGTTATAGGTCAGTGGCAGATTAGAGAGGATAGTTCATGTAGTGCCTTATTTTCACTTCTCCAAAAGTGTTCAGGCCACAAATTTATAAGCATATGGCACAAACCATTACAGTTTTAGCTCAAACTGCAGTTGCTTCCATCATTCTGCTCAAATCAGTCTCTCCAGAGAGATATTTTCAACATTTTATTTCAGCACTCCCAATGTCACATCACCACACGGTAAGCTCTACCATCAAGAGAGCGGAAAGTAATGAATCATACATTGCTATATACAATAAGATAAACTTGCAGACTCGCAGATTTCGTCTTATTATGTACAAATTATTTAGAACAAATTCAGTTCAAACTTTTCATTAAATTCGTTTGTAAAACAAATTATAATAATAATTCAATTAACCATACAAATATGACTAAAATTCATTTATCCTAACTACTGTGCTATAAAAAGACAAAATGACAATAGTATTTAGAAATCTACACCAACAAAGTAAACCTCCACGAATATTCTGTTAAAAAATATACCCACCATTCTTAAGTTTCACACAATCAATTTGGTCATCGATCTCCGTGACTTTACCCGCAAAAACTCCAATTTCTCCACAATCCACATCAACTCTACATCCTAACCAACTCATTCCGGACATTGCATAAAAATATCAATGAGGTAAATTATTTTATTTGAATTTTAAACCTTTTAAAAATTGTTCTGTTTTTTAAATTCTTTGAGTTTTGTTCAGTGGTTTTGTTTCTACAGGTGGTCAGCGTGAAATATCAACCGCGGATACTTCATGTTACTACAACAAGCTAGGATTTCGTTTCCTGGCACCAGATTGACGCAGTGTCGCAGTGTCTTGTTCTTATTTGCCAAGGTAGTTACCACTCACCAAGGCTCAACTCCCGCTACAAGAACAACCCAATGGTTTTCTTCATCGTATAATTTTTCATTATTTTATTTCTCAAAAAAATCAAGCATCTGTCAATATTTGCGACAAAGTTTTTGATCAGACGTTTTTGCGAAGATATTTAAGTCGTACACATTACCTCTGTCAACAACAGGAAACATATAACTTCAAGAGTTTGCCGAAACGGAAATGCCGTTGACTGACTATAGACAGTCCATAACTGACCATATAACCCAGTCAATGCGGTTACGTCATACTATCTTATATTTTTACTTTTATTACCCCAAAGAACATTCCAACGGTAACGGACAATGCACTTGCAATGATCATGACACTTAACAGTAAAGCCTGTTTTGTGTGCCAAAGTCGAATAAAAAAAGATAGTGAGTCACCCGAGCTGATTGTTTTAAATGCATGTTTCTAATGAAACACGACGTTGGAAACATCACTTAAAGATCCACTGCATGCATGGTTATTTCTCGTTCTCCCAAACTCTCACGCGTGTTATAACTGTGCAGAAACACGGGAAATGCTTTCATTTCTAAAGTATATAGATTATAAAAACAATGAGAAACGGACTGAAATTCACAGTAACAGCTTATAATAACAAATAAATAATAAGAAATGTCATATCCTTATACAATTTACACAATTAATCAGCTTTCGCTGTTAAGGTTATAAAATTACAATGAGTTATTTCCATGTTTGAAGGCAATTATAGGATTGCATAATCACGATATACGATGGTAATACGCAGCCCAAATTTTCGTGATAATTTAAACGCAACAAATTTTCCCGTAATTTGTCATGATTATATCAAAATCTTAAAATCCCTGAAAAATTTCTCACGTTTGAATAATAACGCCCAGGTAACCACGGAGACCTTAACTAGCTGCATCGCTTTAGCCTGTTTAGTATTGCAAATGTTCATTCGTGGTAATCTTTTTCATTTCTAAGCTGTACCAGCAGCTAATTGCTCTCTCATGCTCGCAATTCTTACGTATGTTGGCTCTTTTAATGTATCCAGAGCGCGTTTTGCCTTCGGGTGACTGGGCCCTAGCACCTGAAAGAGTGGAGCACAGTTTAGCGTTTGACACCAACTGAACAAAATGGACTTTTATAACAACTTTTGTAGTTATTGCGTTTCTGGAGGAGCAATTTACAGATGAGAGAGTTACTAAAGAATCGGCAACTTATCTAAATCTCCTCTTGTATAGTAACGCTACTTCATCGGAATGAGCGACGGAAAAATGACAAGAAAAGCAGCTAAAGTGAAGTTGCACCATACCTCTATGCACGTATCATGCCATTTTACAAAGTAATCGTAGGCTGTCTCGAAATTTCGATTATCTTCATATAAAATACCAATATTGAGATAAAGACGCAACATTAACATGTGTTTTTCACCGTACGTCTTGGCACACAGTTCCTTGGCCGTCATCAGCATCTAAAACGACAAAGTCGTGATAATGTTTCGAGTCAATTTTCAAACACAATCTCCTAATCCTGAAGCAAATTCTCCCCTAGCCAAGGGACAATTTAAACAAATTGCCGTGGCTTGCAAAGTTAACCTGTATGCAATTATTTGACAATTCAAATCGCACAGTATACCTTTTCTTTTTCCGCAAAATGTTTAGCTAGACGGGGATTTATAAAGGACTTCGTCATGATAGCCTCAGCAAGGTGACCATATCATTTGCTAAACAAATGCAATTAAACGATTGTAAACGGTGACAAACGACTAAAAATCTTTTCAGGAGACAACTGTGTGAAATTAGCATGCAACAGCTAGAACATAGCTACTTCGAAACATCAGGTAAATGTTAAATTTGAGTCATGTGTATAATGTCACATTGTTAAATCGAGGATTTGCAGATTGTGCGTGGAAAAACTTGATCAAGCTTCCCTTGTTGCCCCGCATGCATCAAATTTGGATTATCGATCCAGATAGAATAAAACTGTACAGCTTTACCGGTGACTCCTAGCACAAATCATGGGTCTAATTAGTGAATTCTTTTGGAGGTTCTGGCCTATAAAGAACACTGCATTGGGGGTATTTAACTTTTACGGGCGATGGAAGCAAAAGAATATTACCCTTTTAAAGATTTCTATTGCGTTCTCGACTGAAGCAAAAGCCTGAGTTCGCACATCACTCGAGCTTTCAATATCACATATTGTACTGAGATGGTGCGTCATAATAATGTATATATTGCCCAATTTATTCTGCAAATAGATAAAAATAACAGCAGAAATTGTAATCTACGTTTACGCATGTCCAACTAAAGAGGTCGAATCCGGTTTATTGTGACGAGGTTTGCTCGTGATTCATTTTCGTTAAGAAACTTCCTGATGTAGGATTCGTAGGTCCTGGGCGTGAAAAAATATCGCATGTTTTCACGAAAGACGAATAAGGACTCTGTACTTAGTTGGACTTGCGTATCCTTTTAGACCATCCCGCATGCACTACCTTTTTAAATACTTCAATAGCACGTTCAATTGTGGCAAAAGCTTCGTTTCGCTTGCTTTGGCTGTGTTCCAATTCGGCGACAATGCTTAGATGATGAGCTATGAGTAGTCTCACCATTGCAGACTTAAACTACGAGAACGAAACACATTTTGAACATTACAAAACAAACATTTGAAATGATCAAATCAAACTGATAAACAAACAAAAAACGTTAACCCAACATGCACGAAAGCAAACAATCAAATCCAACACGAAAGCATATATTATGGCTTTACGTGCACAAACTGGTACACAAACAAACAAGCGTATAACTATCGATATCATATGATTTTTGCACTTTCGCAACACAAAATACAGCGGCACAAACGCAAACTATAGGAAAGAAACAAACAAACAGTAAACAAACATGCAAACAAACTGAAACAAACCATGCATAGAATTTTGTTGTTTTGATACACGAAGAAGGCAAAAGGCAAACAAACATAACATATAGTAAACAAGGTCAAGGAAATAAAAAATAGTACACAACAAAACACAAAATTTCACATAACTTTTTTTAGTTTGGTTACACCAGTGGCGGATCTAGGGGTGTGCAGGAAAATTACTACAGCTTAAAATCGAAATCGCATTGGCAGATTTTAATGTAAAAATATTCTTTTCAAATAGCTATATATAACCAATAGCGTTGTTATTAAGGTGTTTTGAACCCCTAAACCCACCACTGGGTTACACAACAAAAGAAAACTAGGGCAACGAACAGAATTACAACAGAAAAAGAAAAGAAAAAATATTGACAAGGGGTAAAACATTTGTACAATTGGTGGCCGGGTTTCACGTATTGTTTTCATAGTGATTTGAGTGGGGGTCAACCTAATTGCTTCGACCCTTATGCCGAACAGGAACAAATTATAGTTACGAATTTGCGTATATTTGCTACGAAGCACAAAGCCAACACATACAGTGAACAATTAACTCGTTCCAATTTATACTGTGTCTCGATTTCGAGATGACGCCACTGGAATTATGACGTCACATGAAATCAAGAATAGGTACATGGTTGTGTGGCTCGTATTAATTCCATTTTGTCTACAAATGAATGTTAGAGCAGTTAGAAAACACTCAATCTTAACTGTTACCTCATTCTCGTCCCCACTTAACTTCTCTCGGTAACTGATGCATTTTTCACAAAATCTAACAATCTCCTGATCTTCTTTGAGTTGATTTTTAGTCACAAAGTTGTAATTTTTGACAATCTACAACAGAAGTGATTGTACAAAGAGAACATAATTACGATCTACGAGTTTCAAATCGAGGTGACAAATACAAAATCGAGGTTCCAAATACAAAATCTGAAGGTCCAAAATTGAGAGTATCGATGGAAAAATAAATTTGTAAATTTAGTAATTCTACTAACTCTTACTAGAGAACTGTTTTGTCTATTTAGGCAGTTGTTATACCACATTTGATGCTAAGTTGTTTGAAGACGCTGGCACGCGGCTCCTTGGTTATATTGTAAATTTTGGTTCTAAGTATACATAATATCCCGTCCGTATTCTGAACGCTAACCCACACTCAAATTAACAAATTGGGTGGGAGAACTCAAACACTTCAAATACAGCGATTCTTTTGCGGTATTTTCACGCGAGCTTGATTTTTAATGTTTTGCCTTAAATCTTTCATTGATTAAGAGCGAACGTTCTCAATGATCAGTGATAACACGATTTCTATACGTCACATACAGTACCAAATTTTTGATGCAATCGGAATTTTCACAAAAAATCGCGGCGTATTTTTATCAAATTTTATCTCCCTTCTGTATTTCATGATTCCAAATGCATGATATTTTTAATCATTCAGAAGACATTCTCATCGTACCTCGCTTTTTGTCTTGGACATGAGTTGATAAATTTCCGCCATTTTCTCAGTTCTGGCTCCCATCTGCTCTTCTTCAATCTTTCTGAGTTCCTCCAGAAGTTCAAGAGACTCCTTGTATTGTCCGGCTTGGATTCTGCGACAAAAATGTATTTAAAAATGTTAATAGTACGCATTTACCAATGAATATGAACAGTAAATATGATGCAATCCGCCCGCTTACAAGAACGTTATGACCATAAACTTCCGCTCGGCAACTTCGGCGGCGGACGCACCAGAACTCTCGAGGATATTGAGCGATTCTCGGTAGAGATTTGAAGCTGCTGCATAGCCGCCAGCCTTTCGAAAAGAGATGAAAATATACAAGTTATGAATATAAAATAAAAGAAAACACAGATATAGTATAACACAAAAAGACCTATAAAAAGAACTCCTCTAATTGACTCCTCTAATTTTCATAAGAAAATATGCACATTTTTATGCACAACTCTTTCTTTGTACGAAAAATACCTAACAAAACGGACAATCAATATGAAACGATAAAAAATGGCGAAATACTCGACGAAGCAATATTATTAAGAAATAAAAAACAAACAGCATGATATAAAATAGACAGGCATTGGGCAATGATTCCGTGAAACAAAATACCAGCTAAAACAAACCTTTTGCCAAGAACGTAGTAAGTCAACGCTGAAGTCTTCAGAAAACAGACGCTCGAAAACAGGCCACTCAAGAAGACAACGAGTCAAACGGTTGTTGTCCAGCAATTGTTCAAGATGATACGGTAATTCCTAGCGGGCAAAAATTATAGAAGTTCTGTCCTTGAACTGAATGTTTTCAAGCCCAAACCAAGACGATTTAATCCATCGAAGTAGAACTAACCTCAGATTTGCGATCGAAATCCTCGCAGTGTTCAAAAAACTCTGCAAGACGTCCGTGCCAAAACGTGTACATGTGTTTCTTGTAAGCCTCATCGCCGCTAAAATATCTGTAGGCAGAGTAACAAACGAAAATCAAAGCATGCAGTAGCCCTCTATTTAGCTCAGCAACACCGCTGCAGGACATCTAATACGGAACAGAAAAAATCGTTTAATATCGCACTTACTTTCTTCTTACGGCTTTACTGATTGATCGATGATAGAAGTCTAATCTTCCCTCGCCCAAGTCCCCGCACGGTCTCAACAGCGGCTTCAAAGCGCGGTACACTATGGCCCACTTGACCGCTGGCAGGTGAATTCGCCGGCGTTTCTGGGATGAACTAGCTTCTACAGTTGTTGTTACAGATTGAAAAGAATATCAGCTAAAAACCCCTTTTAAACAAGCTAGAATTTAACGACTGCCCACACTGATTGTCTTTGAACGAAATATTAAATGAACAGCCCGTCCAAAGAAATTATAAAGATCATTGGTGAATATACATATCATTATACCATAACCCTTACCTTCTGCCTCTTCCTTCTTTTTCGCCTCGTCCTTAGACTCTGCAGTTTGAACATACGCAATGTTAACTTGCTCTTGTAGTTTATCAGCCAGAGCCTCGGTCGCGTCACTCATGCCGGCACCCTGGGACGAATTTTCCGCTTTCGTACTGCAGACTTCGTCATCGCCCGCCTTGTATTCCGGGGGGGTTAAGTTGCTCTCATCGGCTAGAAGCTCTAGGAGTTCGGTTTCCAAGAGGCCGTGACGCGAGGTTTCCAATAAACAAACCGTTGCTATGACTAGTTGCCCGCCATTCTCCTCCTCAAAACGAGTCAACACTTGTTCCTCCAGACTAAGAAAAATTAATTCGGATTAACAATTTATTTCCCTCTTCACTACCACCGCGAAAACAGGATTTTAGCCGGTTTTATAGAAATCCATTCTGTAGTATTTTAACGATAATATCTTTTGTTATTTTTTAAAACAAGTCGAAATTTTGGTTTGGTTGTAAGAACTATAGCTCTGACATAAATTGCACCCGAAATATAGAATACTTCATGAGATATTAAGCTGTTCTAACCGAGAAATTGACTTATATATCATAACTAGTCCCAGTCCTTTCCCGCCATCTAAGATGACCCGGTTAGCTTGGGTTTAATACTTCCTGTATATCGTCATAATACTCACTAAAACTTGGCAAACCAAACAGACAAGTTTTATCAGCCACAAACATATGGGACGAATGCCTTAAGGCAGGCCGTCTTATTCAGTACCTTAGTAAATCATCAGATAAAGACTGAATCTTATCATTGACCATCCTAAATACTCCGTAAACGCGAAGTTCCTCGCAAGCGAGAGACAACCACAAGGGATTGGCTGAACCTTTCTTACTAAGAAGAAGCTTCATCTGTTCATCGTCAAGCCGTTTATTGTAACGAGAAAGATTGTTCACGACTATTGCCTGAAAGAGATAATACGAAGACTATCATCTTACATGCCACCTTGTTATCTGCCAAACTGAAAATGAATTTCATATTTTCCCATTCTCAATATATTTTTCCAATCGGAACTCTACTATTCAAGTCATCAAAACCTGAGCCACTGTTACCTTTCTCGAGTCGTAATCCAGTTCACCAACGACAATCTCCGTAGGGTTCGTTTTGTACGCCCTCAGTAAACGATGACAATCCGTTTCGTCAATCATGGACAGAACAATGCGAACATTCGGAGAGACGACCTCCGGCAGCCATCTCGTTAGATACTGCAGTTTATCACTGTCCATCTATGAAGGAACGAAAACTTTCCCGTCAAGAACACGTTAAATATGAATGAATATAACTTAATTGAAGATCTAGAGCATTGATAGAAACATCACGGCCACACCTAAGAACATGCGACCACGGCCACAAAATTGTTCTGGAAGGTAACTTTTGAAATATTGACACCCTGCATTTGACCTAGATGATAGCTTGTTTCACATAGACTGTCATACTTTAGGAGTACCTGATTAATTGCATCAACAAACACAATCGTTGGCGGAGTATTCGGGTTAGAAAGTAGTGAATTCGCCAACTGTACAAGAGAGTCCAGATCACTGACCACGTCCGTCTTAGAAGAAAAAAAGGATAAAATTCTTGTTATTTGGGTTGGTAACTCTTTATACTTCTCCAAGTGTTTTATTTTTGGCTTTGGGAGATGTTTGGAAAGTCTTGGGTAACACAGTTGTGACCATAGCGCTCACGGCAGACCGGAAACAGAAATCTTCAAAGTCAAATGTGAAAAGTAGGCTTTGCCTTTTTTGCAGCCACAACCATTAACACTTCTTTTGAGAATATAGTAAAATGGTTGTTTGCAGTAAGTTCCAATGTTAAAATCTCTATCGTGAAACTGTGGTATCCCACGCATGCCGTAGACAAATATTGTACTTCATGTAAATGTAAATATTGTACTTCATGATGGCAAAAATAGCCACATAATGTGGAATTGGCAGACGTCATTACCTTTCTAGGATTAAGTTCTTTTGTTAAACGTTGAAGGAAAAATGCCAGGTCGGTTGAGCCCGGGGTGGCACCGACGAAATGAAAGTAAACTTTCCACTTTAACATTTGTCTATATAGAAGAGAAAGAAGAATAAAAAGCCATTCTCACTCTATGAAAAGAATCATTCTACGTACAGACATTTCCTAAATTTGCTCTTTCACAATGTAAACCAATTCAAAAGCCAAAATATACACATTACTATCAACGTCTTTAAAGAGCAGTCACACTCGATCATAAATAGTAGTATACTTCTCGCCTTTCTAGAACATACCTGGGGAAATTGATCTCCGTCGAATTATGCGACTTTTCTACGGCGTCGTGCGCTGACTTTGCCATAATAGCCGACTTTCCTGAGCCTGCGTTCCCAACAAGCAGCAACGGAGCATTCCTGGGATTACTACGAATATACTCCTCGATCTGAAAGATATTTCAATGAACATCTAATCTTGGTCTTTAAGTTTTCTTTACTTTAATTTAGTTATGAACAAATAACAAAAATAATAAAAATATCAATATTGAAATTTTCCTTTCGTTAAATGGTTAACGCAAATCGTAAGGGAAGTAAATGTTGCGACAAACAAGCAACTGTGTATTAGTTATTAAGTGGCGAAAATTGGTTAAATGAAGTTTTTAAACAGTCTAAATTGATGAAGAAACCTTCAAATCTTGAGACTTGGACTGTTTATTTTGCCCTGACCACACATCTGATAAGCTAATGAAATTGTCTTTTCTAGCCACCATATAATCTCATAAATACAAAAAATCTAATATAACGACAACGTGTTTAGAGATGGCTCTTCAGTTCTAATTAACAAACGCAGCACAGGACTAGTTCAATTATTCAGTTTAATTATAATAGTTTGATCTAGTTCATTTTTGTCGATGGAAATCAATTGCATGTCAGGGCATTCATTACCTTGGCAAGTACGCCGTCCCTTCCCAGAACACACTGCGACCTGATATCAAGAAATGACTAAAAAATCAAACAAAAATGAACTCATCACAAGACCGCATTAAATCACCGTGCAATGCAGATAAAAATGTACAAAATAATCTTCAAAAGGATCGCATAGCTTTGTACGGCATAACAAAATTTTCAACTATTAATGCATATGTATAAACTTCTTTTTAAAAACATGACCCTATTGGCTATTGGCATATTAACGTCCAACGTAAATACCTCGTGCGCAGTCCTCTGGGCCTCGAGTGGGTCCTCTGGGGTTGGATCAAGAGGATATTGTTCTTCTATCCTTGTCTTAAAGAATTCGTACACCTAGAAAACGCAGAAAATCGTTTCGATGCAAAATGATGATTTTCATTCGTGTAACGTAAGGTACTTCAGTATTCAGATTTAGAATATAAATCATATTTCAAGAGATAATAATTGTCACAATCGATTACCTATTTTCCGTCATTTCACGCTATTTCAGATCGCCTGGTTATTGAAATAAAATGTGGAAGCACTGAACGCTTTAATGTCTACTTACTGTTTTATAAAAGAAAGAGCCCTGACCGCTTAGGCCCTTCAGTTTCACATCTCTCTCAGTCATTCCCTCGACCTGCTCATCACTGCATTCAACTTGGTAATGATGGATGTTTGGCTCCTACAAGAAATAGACAGTAAAATACACTGCATATATATATATATATATATATAACATTCTATCCAATCAATGAACTCAGTCGTTATACAGCTGAATCCAGTTCATGACGTTGTCTTTGGAACACCTTCTACCTGACAAATATTCCGAGGATTTTTATTGAGTAATCTATGCATGGTTAGAAAAGAAAAACCGCATGCGGCTGATTTTATTCAACTACTAAATCGTTGTGTCCGGGGAACAGCTTAGTCCGATGATGATTTTGTAATAAAATGGAAACATCATAAGCTATATTTTGTGTTTCAAGATGGTAATCGTCGGCATCAGTTTCAGTATCTGGTATCAGTTTCAGTTTCATCAAATATCAGCAACATCCCATTTTTTCAGTACTTCCGTAGAAAACCTCAACCGAACTAACATTATTTGATCTACACGCCTAAACGAAGAAATCCTTACCGGGAATTGCTCGCAAATAACCTGTTTTAATTTCACAAGTTTTTTTTGTGCGAATGAGTCTGCGTCGACAAAGGCTTCTTTTACATCTTTTGGCAGTTTTGAAGCAAATTCGCCATCGCGAATCAAAAACAAAGCTAAAGGAGGAAAGAAAATCTTAATATTTGGCGAGTCCTCAAATCCACAACTCAAACAATAAAAGGCACTAGCTTAAACCATAGTTAATATATCAGGCATACTCAAACACTGAGCCTCATATGCTAAAAATCCCCAGCTTACTTACCATTTGGATTGCATTTTCTAAATGCACCATGAACAATTTCCATTTCTGTAACAGAGAGGCCGTAAACCCATCCGTACTGAGCAGCAAGGTTGTACGTAAGATCGCCAAACGTCGGTATCCAACCAGCCCTCTCGCTGTCAAAGCAAACACAGAGAGATCTTTAGAGAGAGTTTTAAGTTCTTTAGGCAGAACTTCAACCTCTCTCTGAATAAAGATTTCTTTCTATAGTTCTGTAAAAGTACTCTTGGTACTCTACTTCTGGAGAAAGATCGTAAGCACTTATTATTAGCACAACAATATCCTACACTGTATGTGCCGTCTGAGTAACATACTCTTAATTCATGTCTTTGCCCTATAAAAGATATTTCTCAAACATTGGGGATATTGTACCCTACATACAACTGTTGCTGTGGTTTTATCATGCACTAGATCTTGAATTAAATCTTACCAAGTTAAATTTAAGAAATATGGTAAAACATTTTCTTCGTGACAACGATCAAGAACCTCCAAACAAATTCGAATTGTTTCCTCCGAGGTAGAGTCTTTCGGCACACCCTGTAACAGTAGAAACTGGTCAATATACTAGCGGAAACGGGAAACTCAAATGTTGAAACTTTTGAAGACGTATAGGAAATAATAATTCAACAATAAATACAAACTGCAATAAGGAAATAATAAAAATGCAAGTACCCATCTGAGATCACACTCCACGAGATGAAGCTTTCGTTGTTCACACCACAAACGAAGATCGGGAAACACCTTTAACCGATAATGCAATTAAAAAATATGACGCATGCCCTCCCTCAGGGGGGGGGTGTGCCTATAGATTTAATGAGCGCGTGCGTTCGACTAAAGCTTGGTCTTCTCTTGTGACATAAGCACAAAGAAAGGCAAAAGCAAAACAATCAAAGGGAATGTAACGTGCAACTCAACCACTGACATATAGATAAGCACAAAACTTCAAGCAGTAGTCATTATAGCTAGGACAAAAGAAATGTCAAGAGAATATATTTGAATGTTTGTGCTCATACTCAGCTATACTGGGAAGCAGGCTTAAAAAAGCTATAATCTAAGATCTTTGTATAAAAGGGAAAGCAGTCGCTTGCGAAGTTTATTTGTTTGTTTTAATTGTTTGTCTGACAGTAAGCCGAATACGCAAAAAATTTAAAGGATCGTACATGGCCCAATTTTGAATAAAATTTCGATAAGATATACAAAAATTGACATATTTGGATAAGATTGACAAAAAAGTTTCCTGCTAAGCAACCTTTACATGCAGGCTTATTTAAGTTCGGAACACGAGTGTTTTGGAATCTCAAAAGCAAAGCTCAAAAAGCTCACCTCTTTAACTAAAACTTCTCTCTCAACATGAAAGTCTTTGAAGGTTGAGGACACAAACAGACGAATGGTTTTCCACCCTCGCCTACTTTTATTCTTTTCTATCGTCCACTTCTTACTCGGGGAGCACGTTTTCCGCACGGCGGCCCACATTTGTGCCGGTGTTTCGAGGCGCAGGGATGCAGCTTTTTCAAAAGAGATTTCCAAGGAATCGAGATCAGAATCAGCTGTTTCCGATCCGGGTTCTTGATCTTTCGCAGTCTGATTGGGAAGAGGGTGATTGTTGTTGGTTTCAGCAGGAGCAGGTAGGGACGAGGGGGAATGCTTGCTTGGGGTACTGGGTGGATGATCCTGGGTCGGGGGTGATGGGGGACACTTGTTTGGAGCAAGTTTAGGTTGCGATGCAAGAAGTGGCTGAGACTTGGAACCTCCACAACCCATACAGCCCTTTGGCTTTTTTGAAAAAAAACAATCGTAATGAAATCGCTTTAAAAAATACGTATAACAAGAAGAATAGTGAGAATAATAGAGAGGTGACGGTACTCTGTAGGGCAAAATAACATGAAGTATTCCTGTTTTACGTGCACCTGAAAAATTGAAAAAGGAGGGAAACTTCATCGTTTCATTGTCGTCTTTGAAGAGTAAGTATTTTTTTAATTTTTTAAAGTTTTTATTTTTTGTTTTAGTGCTACTCTTTGTATTTCCCCCTTCCCCTAGTGATTATTTTAATCAACATTAGTATTATAGTAAAAGCTCCGCAGCTATACTTTGAAATTTTCAAGGAATATAATATATAGTTTCACCCGCTGGTTCTATTTTTGTTTCAGTGTTTTGAATTTGGACCAATTTTAATTTTATTTATGGAAAAATATCAATACTCTATGACGACTGGCAAAACGTTTCATGCAAACGCTACAATTGCGTACAATTGACGATTGCACAAAAAATTCCGATAAATATTTCTTAAAATTAGGCTTGAGCGTAGATGTTTTTCCACGCGCCCGTGGTATCAAAGATTATTAAGAAATGCGATAAAAAAACCTTTCTTATGGTTTGATTTTTAGTTTTTATTACAAGAATTAAATATTTAGGGGGTGTAAGGATATTTTTTCCGCGTGAATAAACCCACTTATCATTCTTTTATATATCTAGACCTTCATATTCTATGCATGCATTTACATGCATACAATCCTATGCTGGTGAAAATAGGAACCCAAAAATAGAGGTGAGAAAGGTTGATAAATGATATTGGTGATTTGCTATAGCCAGGAAATAGCCAGTAATACAGTGAGAATTTTGTGATAAAAATTAAATAAAAGTTTGCACATTTTATTATTACAAAGTTCTACCTACATTATAAAAACAATTATATATATAATGTACATATTCTATATAAGGTGATGGATTGAAAAAACAATGGGCAACAGTTTGCTCGCAGAGGAAGGCAGAGTTTTCCAGAGTGAGGTTTAAATTCATTTAAATCCAATGCATAATGATGTATAAAGCCGGCGCCTGCAGGGAATTCTGGTTTTAGTAGTCACAGCGAAAATTCAAATTTCAAAATTTCCCGCTGTGACTACTAAAACCAGAATTCCCTGCAGGTGTCACAGCTTATCACATCATTATGCATAAGGTCTATTGAGGGTGTACAAAATTGATAGACAAACACCATATTTTGGCCTCTGAGAACTTGGATCCCTGTTGTGTGGTTCTAGGTGCATCTCTTAGCTTGTTGCCTAGCATTTAACCCAAATATGGCATATTTAGCTATTGTGCTGCCTGAAACCTAGCTAGGCTATTCGAACTTCGAAGTATGCTTTTCTCAATCCTGACTGCAGTCAACCAGAGTGGAAGGAAACTGAAATTAATACTGAAATGAATACTGAAATGAATACTGAAATTAATTGTTCGGACATCATCTGGCAACAAATAGCTTGTATTAAAATATTGCTGCTAAGATTCTTGATTTCATGCTACTTCAAGTTTTGCAAATGTTAATTTATAGAAAGGTTTTATATACAGCATTCTTGTCTTGACAACACAAAATGTGAATTATCACACTGAGCTAGCTGAGTTTCAAATAAAACAACTTGAAACCTCTCTTGAAAAAGAATTTGGTACAAGCTACACTTGTTCAAAATGAGGAATAAAAATCTAAATTGTTTGAAGTCTCATTGGTTTCCTAGGTCTAGGACCAGGACCAGTAGATACATGTAGCATGGTTTTGTGGGAACACTGTCATAATATTGCCCTCGGCTAACACATATGTATCAAAACCGATCACATAAATGTCAATATTCACAAATTAGCAAGGTATACTTTTATAAATGTCTGCAGTAACAAGCCGGAAAATATTTTTGACATATTATTAAAATTCTGACACATTTATTATACTAAAGATTAGGCGACGTTACATACGAATAAACATCAAATTAATCCGCTAACTTAACGACGCTGAGACTAAGTCGTAAAATTGGGAATATGACCTAAAAATTATGGTGTTACATACAAATATATTTGGTGTATAAACTACATACTTCTTAGATGATAAGGATAAACAGCATAAAAAATCCTCTGCGTAAATTTGCCACTCAACAAAGCAAATCTTTTTCGATCACCTCTTTCGCGAGCGTAAACAAAAGCGAGCATCTAGCAGCGCTATGGCAACATAGTTATATGTATTTGATGTTGTGATTAGTTATCCAAATTACCTGCATAATACATTCCCTCCATCTTCATCGCAGAAGCCATGTTTATTAAAAAAAAAAATAGAATACGTACCGCATTATCAACATTGTGCTTCCACGAAAAGTTGAGAAAATGACATGATTCCGTGATGGGATTTAAACACAACTTCATATCCTAAATTAGGATTAAGGTTGATCTTAATCAACCATAAACCTAATCTAAAGCCCGTTTTCCACTTAGCGATATTTTTCGCGCGAAGCGACTTTACTCTTTTGTATTTGAGCAATTTGTTCCAGATGGTTGCAGTTGAGAGCTCTGGAACAAAAGTAAAATGACGATTCGCGCGAAGAATATCGCTAGTGGAAAGCCGGCTTAAGAACTAATCCTCGCCCTGATCTCAAGGATTTATATGATAAATCCGTTTAATTAATGAACATGGCATTATTACCGAGGGGCGGAGGGTTGGAAGACAGATTACGGTAATTAATAATATTTGGCTAATTTAATCTGAAATCTACCAACTTTTTTTGGGGGGGGGTATCTGGGATAATTTCGAATTTTAATTTATCTACAAGAACTAAATGAGTATAACTCGAGAGGCCGTTTTCGGTTTTCTAAAAACGACAACGTTATAATACAATTTTTAAGAAACTATAAATTACAAGTTAATACGCAGAAGTGCGACCTGGAATTTACCAGCCCATTAAAGAGCTAAATAAGTGTTTCGCATTCTAAAATGCGCCTAAAATGCTATTTTACAAACACGTATATTAGATCATGGTAATTGTTTCAGCTAAAAAATTGCCGGCACATCGTTATGAGAGAAAGGATGATTAAAATCACTGGCCGTTAAATGTTCAAACTGTCTCAGTTTATTATTTCTCTTTATTCTTCCGGCTCAAAGCTCGGTTCTTTACTTATCTCTATCGCTCCATGTCAAACTACTCTATCCCCCCAGCATCGTTCCGTTCTATTATTAGATGTACTGTCACAAGATGAAGTCTTCCATCAAATCACATATCAGTATTCTAGTTCATAAAATTGATCGCGTATTTCAAAACCTAAATAATAAACTACCCTAGCTTGGAGCATTGAACATCCTTTGTTCTTACTACGGCAGTATTCATTGTTTACAGAAATATATGAAATTTTCATAAGTTTGTGTCGTTTTCTCGAAATTCCAGTGAACTGGGAAATTAGCTATATCAGCGAGTTGAAGATGTACCAAATCTTTGACGCGAATGTGAAGTAATGTCGCCTAACTCGCCTTAATTTCTACAGTTACCCAACAGGGATAAAAATTATTGGCTCCTTTTGGTAAACAATGTCAGTCGAATGTAAAAGATATTTTAAAATTAGCAGCTGTTTTCATGTCACGTCCACGTCGTAGATTAGGCGCATCTTAACTCGCTATTCGTTCTAACTCGTTGATTTTGAAAATTGGAGATAAAACTATTGCCCATCTTCGGCAGCAGATGCTGCGCTATCCGTAGAACCATAATTACTACCCGATTGCTCATTTTGTGAAAGAAGGCTCTGCGTTTCAGAAGCTTGAGCGCTTGCCGGAGGAGTCGGTTGCTCTTCTTTTCTGACCAACCTCATAACAGCTGCGGCGATACATACGACCGTAGCAAGGCTGTTGCCCGCAATAACCAGCCAAAGCAACGCCACATTTTGGCTGTTTCGTGCCGAATCTTGCCCGAGGAAAACGAACGATAGCAACAACACGACGAGAATCAAGCATTCGAGACAATTTTCCACGTCCACCTTAAAGCGGCTAACTTTCAAATATGACGAGCATTCGTAGGGCTTGCACGCCACGATGAAATGCAGGCAAATCAAAAAGCCAACCGTCAAAACAGGCACCTGAAAGGGCGAATGGTACGAAATGAAGGAGAGGATCGCGGCAAATACTGCTCTGCGAAGGAGGAAAAAGATTTCAATATAACTTCGAAATTCCTCTTTATATGCCAGATACAAAGAGCCCATCCAAAAGTCCCTTTCGTTTCCTTCACCGCCAGCTCCATCACGGTTAACTCCATTACCTTTGTTCCAAAAAGCGCAGATCAAGAGGGGAAGGAACAAGATAAAAGGAACGCCTAAAATATACACTCCTAAGGAACAGTAACCAAGGATTCGCATGACTCTATATTCGTGACTTGGGCAATCGACCCAAGGATTCTGGCCCATGTACCGACGGTCGATGTCTTCCAAACAAGGTGCGAGGGCCGAGAAAGAACGCTTGACGATTGGAAAGTAGGTGAGATTTAGAAACATAATTACTATATTGAAGGAAAAGTGCCTGGCTTTCTTGATTTTCTCATCGTCAAAGTGGAAAATCTTGCAGACGATAACGATGATAAGAAACACAAGAAACGCTGCAACTATCACGCCAAGTGGTAGCAACAGAAGGGAGGAAAATTTTCCAACCGGGGTGAACAGATTTGGAAAATAACACTCGAGGCCTTCAAACTTAAAGTTAAACACGTTGCTAAAATATCGCTGAATCTTCAGCACACCGGAAGGCCAACGGTGGTAGTTTCCTATCATGGCGTCGAGCAACTGGAAATAAAACAATGAAATCTTAAGAACACCGCGACATCGGCTGCCGTGTCCAACTAGCGCAAGAATGAAAACCACGATGTTAACCTCAAGCAACCAGGATGGAACAAAATTGAAAACATGTAAAAGGGTTACGAAAAGAATCTGCAGGAAAACAACAACGACAGACCATTTGAGAGATTTCCGAGAGTAAACTAACCATATGACAAAAACCAAAGCCAAGAACCCAGCGATTATTATAGGAAGAAGAATTTCGATTTTGTCAGAATCTTTCGACGGACATTCATTGCAATCACCACTGTGGCTGTAATAGTTTCTCTTGCACTTTGAGCAATACCTGCCGCCACTTCCCTTACTGCAAATACACCCCGGATCACAAACCGTGATTAGATCTCCATCTCTGGTCGAGTTAACTGAGCATTTGCATTCTCCGGTCGGAGTACAAACCGTGCTTATTTCTCCAGCGTTTTGGCACGATACGAGATGCGTTGTGTTGTGCCACGAGGGAGAAGGCCAGTATCCAGAAGTGATTCGCATGACAGAACGGTTGCCACACGATCCTCCGGACATGCAATGCAAGCAACGTCCTTTGGTTCCATAGTAATTCTCGTCACACTCACAAAATACCCTGTCGTAATACGTCGAATCCATCTTAATAATGCCGCTGTTGTATCTAAACCTGATCACAGGACACGTGTAATGATCGTTTTCGTTTTCCCGTATCATCGTGCTCTTGTCCGTCGTCGCAAATCTGGGAATTTTCGGCGAATCCCCCCCGGCATATCTGAGTGATGGATTACGAGACACGTCAAAGGTTTGAAGACTTAAGAGATCGGCGTATGATTCAGGTATATCTCCCATAAGTTTATTCCCTGAGAAATCAAGCGTAATAAGGAACAACATGTTTTGGCGTGGCAACGGTAAGAATCCAGACAGCAAGTTGTCTTTGACATTGAATTCAATTAAGTTCATAAACGACCACATTACGTGTGGAATATCTCCAGTCAGATGACACCCACCAAAGTCGAGCCTTCTGAGAGAATTGATTGCAGATTGCAGTATTTTAAAAACACAAGACAACTGGGTGGAAAAATCTTTATTTTGGGCAACAGTTAAAAGCGCGAGCTTGCTAGAATTGAAGCTGAATCCTTCTTCGAATCCACTGAGCGAGTTATTCGACAGATCGATGACCTCCAAATTATTAAGTTTGCCCAAACCTTTTGGTACCTGTCCGCTGAACTTGTTCCCGGCCAGATTTAAGTGAGCGAGAGCAGTCAATTTTCCCATTGTTTTTGGAATGGTTCCATGTAGATAATTTCTGCTAAGCAGACATTCCCACAGAAGGGGAAATGAAGATCCGAAGTCATCTGGCAATGTTCCATGTATACCGCTTTCTGACATGTGTAGAAATTTCAAAGATGAAAGACCCAGAAACGGTTTTATTGTGGTATCAAGGTCTCCCAAAGATTCAAGGTCGAGAAACCAGAGTTTCGAAAGGTTACCGACTCCCTCAGGAATTTTACCGGTAATTGGGGTGTTTTCTCCTAGGCTCAATACCTGAAGCTCGGTCAGCTGGCCTATAGATGGTGGAATAACTCCGCCGAGCTTGTTTCCGCTTAACTGAAGTTTTACCAAAGACTTTGAACCTGCAATGATTTCATCTGGAATAACACCATCGAGATTACAGCTAGCAAGATCGAGCCTCATTAACCTCGTCATATTTGAAGAAAGAAAATCCTAGGAATGAAAAAAAAAATGCACCACAGCCAGAAAAAGAAAAGTGTCTTGGAATAATTAAAGCTTGCAGTTTTTTCATTCTAAGATGAACTTTCTTACTTTCTTCTAAACTTACTAACCTCCATTTTTCCGTAGAGCCCAGGGTTTGCATCCAAACAAAGTCCTTGCAAATCTCTCAGCATCCATAGCGTCGAAGGAAGTGTGCCTTGTAGTCTGTTGGCCTCAAGAGTCAAAACTGTGACACGTCCATTTGTTATATTACTGCACCCGACTCCATACCACTGGCAATGAGAGCCTGAACCTCCCCAGCCTGAACTATTCGTCCAATTCAGCCCATTGGTCAATCGGTAGATTTCCAAAAGGATGCCCCGCTCGACGGTGGCATTAAAGGTGCTGTTCAAAATCAAAGGTTCCTTGGGGACAACTGGAAGATCGTGCATACACAATCTTACTTCGTGGGGATAATTTAATGTATCCCATGATTGCTCAGTGGAATCTATGGAAAAATAAAAATGAAAGAACGGCGTATATAAACATATCCGTTACAAGACATGAAACTGTTTCACTTTTTTGGATAGCAGATGCCTGAACTGATTGCATAAGGATACAGTTAGTAGGCATGCTGTCTTGACCTTCCACTAAAGTCTTGCTTTTGTCTTTTTGTTCATGTTTATGCAAAATGACATGTGTACGACGGCTGTGTTTTCAGACCAGGCTCTATATGGACTCTGGGAAGGGGCATCAATATCGCAAAACCATCAAGTTTTACCGCACATAAACTGTCTACTAAATAGTCTCCAAGAGATTTACCGAATAGAAGCTGAAATGTATACCTTCAAAGAGTGGTATTTAGATGAAAGTCATTCTAATATTTGCTACAGATCCAAGGAACTTGATAACGGAAGTGCAGTCAAAATTCCGGCTTTATTATATATTTAGTGAAGTTTCGCAATAGGTGTATTCATTAAGCCTGTTTGCTTGATTTCCATATCAATATTCAATAGTGATTCAATCATATGCATTGTCGTTATATCATTGTCTTTTTAAGTGATTTCTATGTATCATAATTAACCTAGGAAGCATTCCGCGTTGAAATACTGAAGTATGAAGTATTTAACATACAGATGCATAGATTTGTACGTCATAGTGCAAATCGGGGACAGATCTTAGTAGAATTAGGTTACACTGCAGTTAAGCCCCCGAAGCTTGAATACTAAACCTACCATTCACATGACTAAATGTCTGTTTATCAAAAACAATACTGTATTTCCCAAGGCATAATACCACCAAACCACATTTAATCATCAAATGGAGTCGCCCAATCATTTCGCCCGATAAGACTGTAACGCGGCCAACTGGAAATGAAGTACAATTCCTTGATAAGGCAAGTCGTGATACTGTGATGTTGCTATGTTGCAAATGATTCAACTAAGCTATTATAAGACGGTTCGAATATGTGATATTTCGGAACTCAATCTAGTCCTTTCTATATCTGTGCGTTTTAAAGTGAATTAGTGATGATGCGTGTGACTCAGGTATAGAAATTCATATTTTGATGTCCCGGTTTCGATTTCCACGGTGGTCAAGCTAAATTCAGCTTACTCAGTTGGTTACTCCGGAATCACAATATTAATTCATATCCCTGAGTCATCTACACGCATCATCACTATCACTTTAAGACGCACAGATATATGAAAGGAACTGTATTGAGTTCCTAGATGAGAAAGGAATTCGATACTAGAACAGTCTTGACCTGGTAGCTCAGTTGAAAGAGCATTGGACAAGCAAGATTCAATTCCCACCGTCATCAACTAACTTTTTAGCTTGCTCAGTTGGTTACTCAAAGTAGCAACATCGCAATATTAATTCATATATATACCTGAGTCACATTATTTCCCTTCTTGAAAAGGTCTCTGTTCTTTATGAAACAACAAATGATCCTTTGTTTTTGGTTAACTTTTTATATAACTCGATTGTTTTATTACAAAATATAAGATTATAATTCCACTTATATATACGCACGGTACTCATATTGATGCATGACCTTTTCTGTTAAACTTTAAACGGCTAATATTATGCGAGACATCCGCTTCTGCTGAAGCTAATTATAAAGGTGACTTATCGTATAGGATTCTTACCCTGGCGTATGTGAAACATATTAAACGTAACATTTTAAATTCTGTTCTTCAAAAAAATGAAAACGTTTTTGGCATAGACCCTGTTTAGCATTCGTCAGAATGAAAACTGTACACAAGTAATCGTATAATCTATAACTGTATAGGCCTTAAGGTAATTGAGGTAGTTCAAAACATGACCAAGACTCCGCAAAATATACATGTTTTGTGGAAGATTGGTAGCCCGTTGATAAAGCCCACATCATGCTCTACTACTACTGGTCCGTGTCAAAAAATTAGAAAAACACATTCTCCCAACGAAGTATTTACTTTAGATATATTCCACATGTGCTATTTGTATTTGAGCCATTCCACTTGAAAGCGAATAAAATTTAACTGAATGTCGCTTCGCGCGAATATTATCGTTGGTGGAAAACCGGCCTTAGCGTGCCTTGCCCCCTCTAGTTTTAAATATTGTGGTTCACAACATCCCAACTTACTTGCTTTCCTGTATTTTGCTCTTTTTCGGTCGTTTAGTTTGACGATTAGGACTTCCTTTCGCTTGGCTAAAGTGCTAAATATTCCTCAACTTCCCCCTATATTAACTACAGTATATATATGCGCAAACGAGTTGTAGTATTCCCTAATGCCTGACAGGTCACCCATACCATATTAATATTCAAATTACAAAATGTTAAATCACTTGCGAAGAATGGTGTTCCACGCAGGATAAAGATAAAAATCAGGGCTAAATATCACGACAGAATTCCAAATCCTTCTTTTCATGCACGACGCTGTCGACGCAAACTATTCCGATTGAACAAAATTTTTCGTTGCATAATTCGCAATGCATGGACCTGTCATTGTTTCAAAATGTGGTTTTAATTATTCTTTATCTTAAAATCGATAAAGTCTGATCAGGATAACGGCATATTAAGGTGATGTTTTAACTATATAGTAAAGCCTTCTTACTGTCCCCTTCAACCCGCTACAAATGTACAGTGTATTTGTGGCTCGTATATATTAGGCCTATACGGATTGAGACAGTAAGACAGATTGAGTGGCAGAGTCGGGCAGACAAGTCAAAGAGTAAACCAATCGGGACCAGCCTTGTGTCAGGTCTGTCTAACGCGCTGGAAATTGTGCAGGGAGTGAAAAGAAGCCAGAAGAATACAAAGCGCGCAAAAGAGAACTAGGGACTAGTCTGAATTGAGACGAAGCACAAGAGTGTCTGGTTACAAACAAGAGTATAAAATGAGTGGCCTCTTCGAGAATCTCTTCGAAGGGATGACTTTCTCACTTTTCTTTCGTCAAATTGTCCTTGTCGATCTTCCTGTGGACAGTTGATATTTTGTCGGGGTATGTTAGTTTATTTCGTCATAGAAGTATATTTTTCCTTAGTAGTTTATTACCATTCAATTGATTCACCGTAAATCGGCTACTATGGCTGACATGTTCGCATCTAACTTGATATGACCACTTTCCTGAAGGAAGAGTACAAATACATTTAGACAGACACTGGCGGCCTTGTCCCCGCCACGAGTAAAGACCCTGGGAACGAGGCTGGCTGGGTTTTTGCTGCTCCCCGCCAAAACACATAGATTAAATTAGGATCGAGTAACTTTTGATGAGCATTTATTTCCGAAAGATTGCTTTATGAAATTTACTTTTCGGGAGAAAAGATGTTCATTGATATCGATATTGACATCTTTCAGGTTAGAGAGAATAATTACACCTATTTTGACGAAAATATGACGGCATGCTGAGAACAAAACTCGAAATCAACAGGAAGTAAGTCAAATTGATGTCAAATATTTCTAAATTGTTTTCTCATCACAATGCAATGGAATGATTTATATTTTCGGCGATAAAAAGGATATTTTCAAAAGAGCTTACTAAAATTAGTAAAACTGCCAAGTTTGGCTGGGAGTTTATGTAAATTACGGAAAATATAGCCATGCGAAGTTGACGAATTTTGTATATTTTTGTATTACGGCCGGGAGTTTCCGCATGTAATACAAAAGTATACAAAATATGCCAACTTCGCATGGCTATATTTTCCGTATTTTACAAAATTTCGCAGCCAAACATTGCATTTGCACTAATTTAAGTAAGATCTTTCTAGCTGTGGTGATTTATTTCCTTCTAGTTACTTCGATCAAAAATTAGTCTAAAGCGCAAGTCGTCCATTGCTATTTGATATTTTACTTTTAAAATATATCAGTATATGGCTGTGTGTTTGGCGAGGTGATGCTATTAGCCCTTTCCCAAAGTCCCGGAACTAGTCGCGCAAATTCCGTTTTGGTAGGAAAAAAAAATATGGCAACACACATTTAAATTAAATGTTTGGTGTAAAATGGAGATATTTCATTTTTTTACAATGTAGTTAGTTGAAATTGATAGTAATTACTTTTAACTTTTGATATATTTGACGCCTGTTGTCGTATTTTTTTCCCTCTAAACAATCCCAGTATGCACTGTGGCCTCTTTTGGGAAAAGGCTAATTGGATGATGTTTTATGATGCAAGACATCAATTGTTTATAATAAGATGTCGACAAGCATGAACTAAGCTCCGTTTCAGACGTCGAACTTTTCATGTGCAGAACCTAATGTTAATGAACAAAAGTCTTTTACGTTTAATTCGACGTCTGGAACAGGCCTAAGCTTAAAAGGAAGTCTGAAACTTAGCCGAGTCTCTACTGACTGTGACATTTCATTTTACCTCGTATATCGGCGGTTCCTTGGGATGGGGATGGAATCCTTCTTGTTTACACGCGCGGATAAATTTCAAACCATATTCCCTCGTGAGGGAGTACATTCCGATTCTAAAGTCAAGAGCCGAAAACAAGACTTTTCAGTCGTGGTTCAGAGATATACATCACTCCATGCAACGTTTCTGTCGATGGAATCAGTCACCAACAGGAATAAACACAAAATTTTGATGACATTGTATATCTTGGACCAAAAAGGGACCTGTAGCGAAAAGGGCAACTGCGAAGTGTAGGCCCTCGGAACTGAATTTGGTTGTGCGCATAAACTTATCTTAACGCATGGAAATGCATATTAACTGTCAAATTTCCCCTTATTTTTCAGTATGCTAGTACTAAATTGGCACCTGAAGAAAGTGCGAAATATTTTGATAAAGAAGCGACCTTACAATTGTTTCTCCACAGTTAAACGTTTAAGACAAAATATTCAGTTTTAAATATTCAATATTCGGGAAAATGTGGCACGTATCGCTCCAGTTGTTATTACAGTTCAGTGACACCCACACGAGCTATAAAACGAGTTGGGAACAAGATATTCAACTTACTGTGAGTGTTTTGGAGCACAGACGATTGCAACAGCTTCAGGCAGCATTTGTTGATATGAACAGTGCGTGTGAAGGTCGATACTGGACATGAACGCCGTTTGAGAGGGATGAGTCTAAATGTAAGTACACGAATATTTGTTGTACTCACAGGAGGCAGTTAAGCCATTTTCTCTTTGAGTAATGATTATGCACTTACGTGAATCCAGCCAAGCGTGTTCAAATTATGCGCATCTAGGTATGTGAATATATCTTCTTCACCGAGTGTCGTACATGAGTCGGACGTTGACGTTTGCTTTGGAATGACCAGATGAGATATATAGAACGCATGGTGGCTCTAAATGAAGGCGAGTAGACAAATTGTACACGTGTACCGGGATATATATCGCGTTCAGCTCGTAATATAGATATCCTGGCGTGCGAAGGGCACAGATATCCATATTAGCAGCTGAATCCGATCTTTCATGCCCGGGTACTCGGCCGGATATATTCTAATATAACGCCCGGGTACTCGGCCGGACCAGTTAACCGCGACAACCTAGGAAGGGGGAGCCTCGAGGGTAGCTTCAATTTAGTTTTAATCTTACCAATTTGCCAGCTAATATCCCACAGGTTTCCCGATTCTGACGGGTATTTGGCGATGCAACATCAATAAATTTCCTCATTAATTCCGTTGGGACGTTTACAGTTCGCAAACCGCTGTCGAAATCTACAAGAAGTAATAAAAATGCGCTTTTCTCAAACTATTTTTAAAAGCTCCCTCAAAAATCCTTACTATGCTTTCTAAAATTTCTCTACAGTAGCCGAAACAGTCAACCTCGTTCCTCGAGTCAACGATCGTGGGCTCGATAAACGAGACTGTAAGACGGTCTTTCCTGCAGTGTACCGAGCGTTTCCTCCATTTTACATACCACCAGAGTGCAGATTATAAAAAGTGTAAAAACTTCCATTCTCAACATCATAGGAAATGGCGATATATAGATAGTAGAAATCGTTTGAAATAACGTGGGAAATAAAACCAACCTAACCAGCTTGGTTTTGTAGTTCTATCAATAGAAGGAATAGTTCTAAAAAAGAAATATTCCATTGTTAAGCCCCTGTCAAAGTAGCCAGGCGAAAGTTGATAAGTTTTCACAGTCAAACTTTACGCACAAATACTTGGAATTTCGAAAATTCGCAAGTTTGTGACAAAGCTCAAAAATTCACAATGCACTTCTTTAGATCCTTTTGATTTCTGAACCAATAGACCCTTTCGATAATTACGTCACAAAATTATCGATTTAAATTTAGGATCACCTTAACTGAGATGGGCTTCAAGTTTTACTCTCATTAGCCAGGTGCAAGATGCAAAACATCCTTCTTCAACACATGCATGAAAAAGAATTTCTCATTTTGACAAATCAGTGTGGAAATTAGCCATTACTCGAGAACGAGGCTCCTGGTCGTGGCCTGATAGCCTTGTTTTAGTGTTACGGCTTATTTTCACATTTATTGGTCGAAACAAAAAATATTTTTCATGCAATTTGTGTTGAAGTAAATTTGAAACGATAATGTTGTGACGTAATTATCGATTGTAATAACGAACTTAAGAATTTAGAACAACTTCCGAGTTTACAGAAATGCTGGAGAGAG